AATCTCTGAAGAAATTGAACAGAATGATGAATTTGAAAATGACTATATTTCTATGGAGGGATTCTAACATGCAATCTGTCATTTTAAAGCCTGTCTTGAAAGGGATATAGTATTCTGAAAATATATCGTTCTAAAAAAACAGTCTTCAGGTATCAATAACATTTTTCCAAAGTAAAATGCTACGTACGATTCTAATAAAATGATAGGCGACAACTTAGATTTCCAGGTCATTATAATCATTCTCAAGGGCAGGTTTCATGGATATTGATAACGAATGCAACATCATTCATTCGGGAAGTGACGCTGGTTTGAAACTCGACTGTGTCCAATGTTTTACCTGAATTACTGAAGTACAAATGTCCGTATTTCAATTCTGAAGACTAACAAGGATAGCGGAAATCGATTTAAGATTTTTCGACGACTTAATCCCTTAAAATCTAGTAAATACAAAGCTGCACCATTAAAAGGATTATTGGCAATTGTACGGTTTGACAATTCATTTGTCAATAAAATAGTTCATTTCCGACAAAATATTAAAATATTTTATGTACAAATGGAGAGGCTTGTTCGGAAATCCAGACATGATAAAGTTTGCTTTTCTTTTTCATATCCTTGCAGTAAACCATTATTAGTTGAACTGTTTTTCCGAAAACCACTTTGGACTTATTGCCAAATAATGTTTTTTATGATTGGTCGATGTTCATGAAAAACACAACGAAAAATAATATAGATCGTGATAATAATGTATAAAACGGGCGAATATCCATTACAAATGTCATTGTTTTAAATCTGATAACTGAGAATATTTTTGAAATCTGATATTTTAATACCGATAATGAATTTCTATAAGCACTCTTAATACACTTCGTCAATAAGGGTGAACAAAATGGAATGATGTTTGTTCTCGCAGGATAACCTTTTATAATATTGTTATCGTCTGAAAGCGAATGGCTCGTCTGAAAATAGGGCGGGGTTCAATTCAGTTGATAGTATGTCAAGGGTTTGCAACCTGGGGGTAATTACTCCTAAATGGATAAGTTGGAAATTCTTCTGGGGTAAAGAGCCACTTTGTTTGACAATTATTTGATTTGATAATACATTTTTGACAATTAAAAGTTAAGTTGTTCTATTCAGTCAGACTCTATTCTCTGACATGAAAAGATGGCTGGGAAAACCCAAGAGAAAAGCACGAAAAAATAACAATTTATAGTGGAAGGGGGATAACGAAATCGATCAAGAGTCCTGGAAGAATAGAAAGAAAAAAGTTGGAAATCCCTGTTAAGTAACAGAACAAGCAAATTAATTGTTGGGACACCTCAATAGATCAATGTCATGTATCAAATTACTGTTTCTAAAAGGTTTCTAACTAAACATTGCATTTAGCTGTTTTTATTCTACAGATTTAAGAATGGTTATTATCAAAAACTTGAAAGACACTGTTTTAAATTGTACTTGTAAAAGTGCCATCTTCGTCTCGAGGGATTTTATTAAATCTGCATCGAGCGACTTAAACTCTGCATTATAAAATCTCTTTAACATGCCTATCTAAAGCCGTGATTAAAGTAGGATTAAATTTATACCTTGTCGAACAATACTTGCAGCCTAGTGCGATGATATTTTAAGAGCATGAGACGAGTTTGAAATCAAGGAAGTAATCTAGAACAAGGTGAAAAGTTCAATACAATAGGCTATAAAAGGAAATTATTAAACGACACATAGAGTCACCAGAAATAGTTCGTGAAGACGTTCAACAAAATGTCGATAAAATCTGTTGATTATTTTTCATTATCTGATTTTAATTGACATTTATTGACAGAACATATTACATTTAAGATTGGTAATCCATATTTGTTGCTTCCCAAGACAACATTTCACGGAGGAACTCGTTTCCAATAGGTCAACAATCACAAGACATTTGCTAAATGAAATGTCACAAAATCTGAAACGTGAAATTATCGTGAGCAAATATCTTGATAATTGTATATACAGAATGATCTTCTAAAGATAACACGCAAGTATACTATACATCTGATACTGGATACTGACTCTTATCAAATGGAATAGAGTGTATCGTCCTTATTTTCTGCAGAGTGACTAAACGGAGGGAGAGTTTTGCAGGATAGCAGCACTTTCCTACTATATTTAGACTACTCTGAATTGTCGAAGGCTCTTTAGGATACACACTCTTGAAAACAGGGCCTTGATTAAATTGACCTACATCACTGACCGGGCTAAACCGTGTTGAAGATAGAAGTAAAAGTACAAGTACTAAAACTAGATGAGACAAGAGCATATTAGTCAACAATTCAGTACTGATGTTTTGTGATAAAATAATATTGTTTACAAACGATGTTACAGTTATTGCAATAGCTACGGTGATTAACTTTTACATAATAAACGATTCTATTAACTCTGAAGTCATCTCCTCGGTTTGTATTAGAGACCTATTCTATGAACCTACTATACTTGAGCTTTTTCCACACAAGATCAGTTCCAGTGGCAGACTCCTTGTTCTTTACACTAGAGACAAAAGGGGTGTTATTGGATTTGAAGTGGGGGCTAACACTACTCTAAATCAGAAGCATGGGTTTCGTATGCAAAACTGTTTTCGGGGCAAATAGTTTTGAAAAATAGTGTAACCTTTCCTGAGGAAAAGAAAGTTGTAAATAAATTGGTTGTTAAAAATACAAGACACCTGCGCTTAGCTTCTGTGTTGTCTATTTAACATCTCACTAATTTTCCTTATGTCGTTGTCTTAGCCGACCAAGATAGACATTGAAAAAGAAACATGAATGCTGCTTTATCACATGAATATGTCTCAAATGACCACAGGGTTCAAATGCAATTTTATTCCACACTGTGTTTCTTGAGTGATCCCCATATAATTAGTTTTGCAAGAATCATCTGCATGTCTACAGGATTCTGCATAAATAACCCATAAGGATTACACTGTACAATGACAGTTCCATGCGTAAGAACATCAACTCAAAGATATGATTTAACCCAAACTTGAAAAATAACTGAAATTGAAGACTTTTTTTTACTTTGTTTTGTTTTTTTTTTTTTGTTTTTTTTTGTTTTTTTAGAGAACACACGATATTTTGCTTTCTGTCTTTGTCAATAGTTCCTTGATTTTTGAGTAGGAGGTCTACAATTTACATCAGCCACCCAGTTCACATTTTCTATATGAGATATTGATTTTAAATACATTTTAATAAATTGTCTTGTTCGATGTAATCTTTCAAGTACTCTGTCTGAATATCAATTAATTTAGATCTTAAAGATATGACTTGACAGGCATTGTAACATACAATTGCAGCATTTTCATTTTCATTCTTGGTTGACGATAAAATTCTCAAGATTCTATCAAGAATTGCGACTTCCAGGGTATTTTTCTATAATATCCATCCATCAATCCATTTGGTGATAATAAATTCCCTAATAATTTTCATAAGTTTCTTACAATTGTGCATTCTGAAGTTTTTTCGATCAATCATATTGTACTTAATGCGAAAAAGAGATGCTATGGCTCTATATAGATTGTTAGTCGTCTGGAATATTGGATTTCAACAATAATTTAATAATCACTTTCATATATTCTGGCCATGACTTAGTGAAATACATCAAAATTCTCTCCTGAGAGTTATCAAGATGAACTGATAGATCAGATTTAATGGTGGTATAACTATTACTAAAATCATATCTGAGTGTAAATGGTAAGTAAATGGGTTTGGCGTAGAGATCATGACCTTTTTGGTATGATATACTGGATAATTTCACACTATATATGCTATTTGTCTGCCCCAAAGGCAAGGAACCAGACTAGCGTGATGATACATATTATGTTATGGCCATTTATCTGACGTCGTACTCTTCTGCACCCGATTGAGCTAATGAAGTCTGGCAACGACTTGCAGTTTGCAATGAGTTAATGTGGCCAGAACAGCATGTTCCTTAAGCACCGGTAGCATATATTGTTTATATTTTACCGTTGCTCTCGCAATCATATATTCTCGTCATTAATTTTGATTGGTAGAGAGTTTACGTTATTAGTCGAGAATTTGGGAGTGTGAGAGCAACGGTAAAATCTAAACGGTGCTTAAGGAATATGCCAGGACAGCTGCTATATCTTATTCTATTCAGATATTTAAAATGTATTTAACTTAAGGATCTTTGACATAAACGCACTGTAGAACATAGGGCCTTGGTTTATTGTCCCGTCCAAATGACAAGATGCTCTTTTCTGACCTACAACATCGACAAGGGTAAACAGGGTTACATGGCACAGGAATTTGGCAAATTGAAAACAGTTAAACAATGCAATGTGCAACCGAGTTGAATACACCGAATGAAATAGAAGTTTGGACCTCGTGATTAGACTAATGCAGTAACACAATTTAATGTATTAAATTTGTCAATGCTGTGAATTTCTGACAATGGGGGACCAGGATTATTGCACCAATCGACTTGTGCTGGTATCAAACCCGGACCTTCGGGCTACCAGTTTCCATAACCTACACTACAAGAAATATGTGGTTATATATATCACTAAATGCTCAAAGGAATTATAAAGGATGACAGATATGCTACCACAAGACAGGTTACATTCATTTCGAAATTAACTTAGAAGCTTTCAATATCTTGGAAAGAAACACAATTCGGTTCAGACAATCACCCGAATAGTTAGCAGTTAAATTGTAGATAATAAATTACAAACGATTCTAACAAATGGGTATATTATGTCACTTGGTTACCACCTAATGATCAAATAAGCCTCCTCCCTTTCGCACAATTAATGATACGAATGTCCATCAGACACAATCTACATTTAAATCTTTCATGATTTGGGTTTAACAAGGAGTCGAAGTCGATTTGCATATTTGGATAGAGCTCTTAAATAATGTTGAAAATGAATACTTTGCCACAAATATGAAATAAGTTTTTCACTTTCATTTCCCAGCTTTATATCATATACTATGATATGCCTAAGGAAAAGATATTTATCTCTGATATACAGCTCGTTTTCTGGGTTTTTCTCGATAATGACGTTTCAGTACAGAACCATCTTTTTGGTGTGTCACGGGGTGTGTCTTGACAGTAACTGTTTTTGGTCGTTGTTGAATTGTTTTTTGTAAATTAGAATTAAATGCTTGACTCATATCCTGGTTCCTCGAAGATATTAGCCCCAGTTTCTTTTGGACGCCACCAACATATTTGATATTTGGAATAAATTTTTTCAGAAGCGAAATCTTCCTTGTAGAATTCGGACCTCTTTGAAGTGAATTCAAATTTAATCTGGATCTGTTCACTTTTCGGATTAATCTATTAACACTGCTTGAAATATTTCTGATGGACCCGCTGTATACTGACTGTTTGGGCCGATAATTATGATATTGGCGTTGTCGATAACGGCTACGAGGTGTAGCTGTGTATCTTCGATCGTAATCATACCTTCTTGAGGGTGTAGACTGGCCATTACGTATGTTCCATTGTGAAAACCGATTACGCGACGATCTGTAGCGTCCAGGTGGAGAGTCGTAAAGGCGATCCAGTGGAGGATTATAACGATGAATGGGGGGCGGTGGTTGCGTACCATACCGACCCGGTGGAGGAGGCGCAGGATCATAACGATCCAGAGGTGACGGGAGAGGTGGTGGATCGTAACGTCCCGGCAGAGGCGGAGCATCATAACGATCCGGGGGTGGCGGGGGAGGTGGTGGACCGTAACGATCCGGTGGTGGTGGCGGAGGTGGTGGACCATAACGATCAGGCGATGTTGGAGGACGATGCGGGGGACCGTAACGATCAGGTGGTGGAGGCGGAGGACCATAACGATGAGGAGGTGGCGGAGGAGGTGGTGGACCGTAACGATCCGGTGATGGAAGCGGAGGACCATAACGATCGGGTGGTGGTGGACCATAACGATCAGGTGGTGGTGGTCGAGGTGGTGGATCATAACGAGCAGGTGAAGGAGGTGGTGGATTATAACGTTCAGGAGGCGGACCATAACCAGGCAGGGGTTGTTGATTGTAATGATCTGGAAGTGGAGGTTGAGTTGGTGATAAACCGTATGAATGATACAGTGACGGCGAGCGGTCAAGATGATGTGGGGAATCGGGAGAAGTTGGTCTCAGAGAGTCTTGATTAAGTTGATTCCGATGAGATGATATACTCATTGGACTTTCATTACCATTGTATGGTGGACTTGGGCGAGACCTTCCACTCGAGTTAGGCTTGTCCGAATGTTTTAACTTCTGCCATGAATACAGACTTAGACACATCGGTACTGGAACAGAAAATGGAAACAAAATTCAATGATTGTAAAATATGATATAAAAAAAAGCCGATTCGGTAGACGAATGTAGTGAATAGAACACTCACATTGTGACAACAATAGCTCATACCAGCACATTTGGCCATTTCATTTTAAATGCATGTGGTACATGAGTACCTGGTTAAAAATAATCATCTAGATTAGCTTTTTGACAATTAGAGCAACATGTTATTTACATTAGTGCTGATATGTTTATAAATTTTGTTTGATTTAAATTTATATTTGTGATGTTAAAACAAAAGTTCGTCTTATTTTATCAATGCCATGAGGAATATTTATTGAATTAAACAGAATATGTTTTACATTTCTTGTAGTTTTTCTACGCCTGACATTTTGTAAATCGAGAGCCTTAAGTTTTACAACTCATTATGGCTTTTTTATTTGTCTTAGTCATGAATGTTAACAGTCCCTCGAGCAAAACGTAAACATAAAATCAGCATTCCATGATTTAGAACAAAACATAAAGTTTTCGTTGCAGAAAGCTGTAAGACATCTACAAAAAATAGTTGGGCCATAAATGTGCATGACCTACATTTAAATGTAATATTCGCCCACACGGCAAAAATCTCAAAACAGACTCTTGACAACTATGTTATTATTTTACACTCATCTGGTGGGGTGGTGTTACAGGCTGTGTATGTTAAAGATTTCTCGACAGTTGAAATTCGGAAACGTACAGGCAGAATGGTCTTCAATGTACACTGCATGGCGTTGCCCGTCTTCAGTACCCATCCTAGACGGAAATATATGACAGAAAGCTCCATTTCATATATAGTACCCTCTAGCATACGATGGATAGGAAATCCAATATATACCTATATAAAGACCGAATCCAGAATTTGTAGGATAGTTAGTGTACACCCGTAGAAGATACACTTCAGACCTTGGAAAGTGGTCAAATCTGAGGAATGTTTCGCGTGTAAACAGTGAACAATTATCTCTACAAACAGAAAGTACCTACTTGAAGAAATTCTATATATCTAATCTGATTGGTCCAATCTCAGATGAAGACGCTGTATCCCTACTAATTTGTTGGTGAGAGCACTTACCGTATATGCTTAATATAATAAGTAGCATGGTGCACACAGTTCCAGACATCTTGAAGGTGCTATAAAAAACAGAACTATTTCAGAACCTGTCAGTAAAAAATGTCAGAACTGTTGAAATTGTTGATACGAAATCCAATACCATTATACACAAAATAGACTTTTATGTTCCACAACCAACAGATAATAATGAAACAACGCACAAAATCAATCTTAAATACAATGCAAAAGTTCAATGTTTACAGTTTTTTATTATTTCTAAATTAACATTTTTCGAAGGTTAAGAAAAAATGAATATACTATTTAGTAAAATTAAAGTAACCAAACCTTTAAATTCTGTGCATTGTCAAACCCTAAATGGTACGAAATAAAGATCGTTAAACAAAATTTTATAGGACTAACGAATATCATAGTTTCGATGCAATATACCACGACTTGTTTGCTACTTATATAAAGTAGTCATAGACATATTCTTACAAAATCTGAACCCTGTCGTTGACCTCAGTCGTTAGAATCTACAATCGTTCTACAACCGTGCAACCGATCGCAGCTGCTGGTAGTAGTTAAATTATTCGATATGATCGTTTCGACGGCAATAGGTCATATAAAATGAATAAACCAGAAAGTGCGACTCAGCTAATCGCACTAATCAATTATAATTGACTTTCAGCCACAAATTATCAATTTTAAACACTAGTTTATCGAACCATCCTAACGTACTTTTCCATATTTTGAAAAAGATATTTACAAAAAGCTTTGGTTTTGTTTGTTTAATATTATCATACAATGTTAGACATAAACTAGTACATTATCTACATTTCTATAACCAACTTTCAACTTGACAATTAAACTCGACATTTGAAAGAATTCATAAGAAAACATCTAAATATCACAAAATACAATGTAGCCAACTGTTAGCCACAGTAACTGTCTGGTGGGTAATACAGCCAAAAATAATAATATATGTTTCAGAGACACATCCTGTATGAATGTAATTCTTGACAATTTCTGTTACATTTAATTGATTTTCTCCTGTGTGATTTTACAGATCTAACGATGATGGGTTATTACATCTCAAATTAAAATCTACTACTGTGACCTGTTCATCGTATAGATTTCATTGCTCTCTTTGGTTGTTATTTTGGTGGACGGTGGTATCAGAAAATAGCGCATAACGGAGCCACGAATTCTTAAGAATGGTAACCGGCTTTAAGTACTAAAATTCGAGCTCCCATCCTCGCGCTTTGTCCATGTCCGCAAAAATACCCTAGAGGTGAATGTAAAATATATGCCAATGGACATGTAGATAACTGCCTTATTTACAATACACGGGAGAAATCGTTCTCGTGTTCTTTAAGTGTTTTAGGGCAAATAAAGTATAAATGTCTATAGAAATTTGTACTTACAGGAATATTAACAATAGGATATAGACTTGTACGGTTTTTATTCATATAAGAGTCGCCTCAGTCATCCCAAAGGTATATCAAACATGTCCAAATAAAAAAAATGCTTAAAGTTCAAATTCTTAAGGGTACTATACAACAAACATATAGATGAGATCTGGATCTACATTTTAATCAGATTGTACGGTCAGTCATATGTTGGTCTCTGTAGAACATTACGATCGTAAAGGGAATCGTGTCAGGAATCGTAAAGAATTATTGTTGTATGTTAACGAGATGATGTAATATTACTGCTACATTTCTTAACACTTTCTCTATCATATTCAACCAGTGATGTAAATATCAGATAATAACTAATCTTTATTATACCCACAAGACAAAAGTTCGTCAAGACAAGTTACTGACATATAAATACAATCAACTTATATATTACTAATCATATACATTCATACGAGATCATTCCTAGATCAAATCCTTAGAAAGTTTGAATATAAGAGGGTTAGGGGGGTCGAATGTGAGCGAAGTATTGACAAATTGGGTGGCTCGAGATTTTCACAAAAGATCACTTTCAGGAACTTCCAGAACAGATTCCTGGAGAGGTTTTATGCTCTTGAAGTCTTAAGTCTCATTTGAAACACCTTATAATATATAACATTTCAAGGTTTGAAAGTTTTTTGGGATATTGTTTATAATTTATCAGCTCAGATTATGAGATTATATAATAATATAACAACTAAGTTTATTTTTATATTGAACATAATATAGCTGAGTTTTATACTTTAGTATATAATAAAACAGCGAAGTTATATGACATTTTATAAGTTTTATGATATTGTACAATATAACAGCTAAGTTTCGGGATATTGTACAATATAACAGCTAAGTTTTATGATATTGTATAAAATATAACAGCTAAGTATAATGATATTGTACAAAATACAAACAGCCAAATTTTATGATATTGTACACATTCTGATCAAATATAATATACATGGTATGGCTTACGATGTTGTTTGATAATATATAACAAATATATTTGTTTGCAGTTAGATATGCTCTGGAGTGTCTCTAGCGTGGCTTTCGATATTCTATAAAAATGGAGAACACAATACATATACAATTTTTGTCATACTGTAAATAACATAAGATAAGCTATATGATATTGTAAATAACATTAGAAAAGAGTTTGATACTGTATGTAATATAATTCACATGACTTGTGTTATTGCATAATATGCATGGCTTACGATCTTGTGTACTTATCGTGGCTTAAGATCTTGTGTACATATCGTGGCTTACGATCTTGTGTACATATCGTGGCTTACGATCTCGTATAGAAATGAATAACAAATTTATAACATTTATGATATTATATATAATATAAGATAAGTTATGATATTTTACATAGCATTAGAAATGAATTATGTGATCTTGTATAAAATACATGGCTTTCGATATTGAAATTGTATGTATATAACATAGGATATGTTATATATCGTATATAAAATAACAGACAAATATTGTATAATAATATTGTATAATATTATGTGGCATATAATATTGTATAATATATAAAGAATATATAAGATTTATGAAACTATATATAACAAATAGTTTTTTTTGTTTCGATGACACTATATATAGTTTATTTGCTATTGTATGTAACATATTTTCACGATATTGTATACTGTACATGGCTTACTAAATTGTATAATATACATGTCTTACGGAATTATTATATATATAACAAAATATGATGCTGTATATAACATAATACACAACAGAATTTATATGATTTATCATATTGTATATAACATGAGACAAATTGTATGATATCATATAACATAACATAAACCTTTTATGACATTGTGTACAACATAACAGATGAAGGTCCTAATTTACAACGTATGGTTTCTTTATACACTGGTTTATGGTTGAAAGTCTGAACATCAGACGCATAAAATGTTACTGAACCGTTTTGAAAAATATGACCAATTACAATGTCTGTTACATAACCCGATCCCTGATAGTTTGTTATAACTTTTGATTGGGAAAAGGTTAGTTTGGTTATTTGGTCGCCATCTTTGGTAAACGTAAAATCTGAAACACACAAATATAAAAATCTTGAGCGTTACTGCTGGTGCTATCGACTACAGTGCATAAAGACTTTTTAAAGTCACCCTACCAATCCGCGGCAATCTTATGAGTGTTCTAACTTATTTAACATTTTATACATTTCAAATTTTGTACGTTTCTCTAGGGCTGGGACCTCAACCAATCCATACGGTAGTTGAGTCACTGATGACGGTTCAACTCATGAAAAACAACAGGACACAGTGAAAAAAAAAGTGAAACAAAATTCTGTGTCTATTTCCATTCTTATACCTCAATACAATGGTGCATTCAACAGTCTTATTATTACTATTTATAAGACTTTGCACTCGATTTCAATCTAATAAACACAAAATGGCCACGATCTAATTTGTATGATTGCTCTCTAAGGACCCCGCGTTCTCATTTGAACATCTGAGATTCAGATAACCAAGCAACTAATATATAAAATAAAATAAGGTCAACAATAAGAGAAAGTGACTCACTAAATAATTAGTTTCATTAAACTTTTAGCCGCCCAAGATCAGACCTTAGATCTGATGTTGGTAATATCGGAATTTATGTCATTGTATTGTATACACATCGTATGAATTACCGAGGTATTGTGTAAATCCACTATTCTATCTTACAAACCATTTAAATCTTATTACTATTTGCACATAGTCCACGCTTCGATTAAAAAATCATTGTTAAAATGGGGAAAAAATCGAAACAAACTGAAACATAATTACGATTGGAAACATTCTACAAATCTGTGTCAATCGGAGAAAAACAACTAAATCTTCAGCAATCAAATCAATTGATAACCCTTGCCGTCATAATAATTCAAATTATCTAGTCTATGTTCTTCAGACCATTGGAAAACTTATCAAAATAAACATTAATTTGGTTCACCAAAAGTGAAAAAAAAACACCTTCTCATATTGCTTTCTTTTAATAGCTTTTCATCGATCTGGTAGTCTGCAAACTAGTTTACCCAGGGTAGCGTGGGATGATATAGTAATGTCACTGTTGACTGTGAGAACAATTCACAAATTTTGGTCGATTTGTTCACGGCGTTCACTTTGCCAATAGGATGCGATGGGATACCACAACCAGGGCACCTAAATGTGGAAAAGGTTTGGAACCTTGGAAAGATTGTAAGTCATTGTGCGAAAACAGTTAATGAATTCATTTTCTACTTGCCTTGAATAGCACCTCCTGAAAGAGCCCCCGCTGAAATAGGTGGACATGACCGGTAGTCAGCGGTAAAGCGTACATCTTGACCATTTAACAGTGCTTTTGTCAATTCTTGGAAACTCTCTAGGGTTGAAATCTGTTTTCTGGATTCATAGAACAATACTCCTTTTCTGTAAATATAAATGTAGTTGACGATGTATACAATTTTAAGTTATTGTTTCAGTTCAGTCATTGTTTCGGTTTCCAAAAAGCGAATGTATAAATACGCCAGGCTTACCCTTGGAACTGACAGGCTACCATTGATTTGTCTAGTACAGTTGTTAGATCTGGTGCAAGAGTTGTTAATTTTAGTTGAACTCCACTGTTATTATATACATAACCTTCCTTTAGAACTGTTACTACACCACCTAAATATAGAGGTACATGTACATGTATCAAAACAGAACCTGAAACATGTTATTATTCAGAGTTTCACGCCGTACAGTAATTAATTGTGATTAAAGCGTGTAATTAAATGTCAGTAAACTCGCAGAATTCTCCTTTATATATTGTTATTGATGTACACCCGTGTGAGTGCATGTATGGGATTAACTGATATGAAAGTATCAGTCCAAAATACAGAGCCATCTACGGCATTCCTACCACCAAATAATAAATGGTCGTTACCTGTAGAATTAACAGCAACAGCCGATTCAGAAAATCCAAAATACTGATCTGGACCAAATATAGAATCAAAGAAGAATTCGAAGACTTCTATATCACCACCATAGATTACATCTGAGTTGTTTGATTTACAGTACTGAGGGTCTATGACGAACCGTATCACACTGCCCCCCTTCATACGTTTGATAAGATTATCGAAATTATCTATACCATTACTATTTCTAGTCAACGTGTTCTGGTTGTTCAAGCTAAAATACAAGGAATAAATGAAATAAATCTAAATAAACAATACTCTACAAATATCTTTGGAACATTCTTCGCAAGAAATGATTACTAATGTCAGTCATATTTAATTATTGAGGCGATACAGACAAATTGGTTTTGACTGGGGTATTATGCCCTGGATCTATTCGAACTTAATGAATACATTTTAAATGTCTAAAAGATTGAATAACTACTGGTTTCCACAGTATATGCCAACAAAATAGCACATTTAATGACAATTTAGACTGGCTGAAGCTACAGTATCACAATTACATTTTTTGATAATCATGATATCATATTGTTGACTTTAAGAGCAATAACTCCCAACCAATTGCCATAAATACAAATCAAAATAAGTAATAACTAGCACATGGGTCGGGACAATTTCTCTATCCTCATATTGCGGAATGACATCTGTTGCTGGATTACTATGCAGATACAGGGGCGTATCTAGAAAATACCTGAGGTTTATATTCTTACTTGTGTTTTTCATCGATGGGATATTTACTCATATTATACGGTGATGGATAGACTTTTAATACAGACTGGTTCTTGTAAAATACCCATGTTTCATCAGCTGTCAGATAGGTAGACGTTAGATTGTTTCTGTCAATTATAAGTACCTAAAAAGAGTATTTTGAAACATATATTGTTCAATAATATGCCTTAAATTACAATGGGTTGATTTTACTGACCATTTCAGAAGGCGAAAATTACAATGAAAGTATGTATGAGTTCATACTAAATAAACAATTCTGGATGTGGACTGTATACTCCTGAAAGGGGTGAAGAGTTGACAACATCTTTGGCATTATCTCCACAACGTTGTAGATTACAAAGTCATTATGGAGGACGAAATCCTTTTTTTGTTCCAGTCGTTTGGTAATTCTCACCAATCAGAAAACCGTTAGATTATAACAGATGAGAGTATATAAGCCATTGCTGATACTCTGTATAAACTTCAAATCACGAAGCCATTTCCATGTTTAAATCTTGATGTCCAGCGTCTGGTAGTTAAACTGACCGATCGATAAATTCAAAATGATCCGTATGTGACTTAACACCTCTGACAAAATCAGGGATCAGTAAGTTTCACACCTTATAAGATTCGAAGAGCATTACATATACATACCTGAGCACCAGCAATGTTGACAATACAGGTATTAAACATGTTAGACCGGAAATAATTGCTATCCAACCGTGTCCAGTATACGTCACATCCTTCAGCATATATCAGATCTTCTATCGTCAGGCTGGCAAATTTATCCGAATGTGCAGGGGAATGGAGAAATCGTTCAGGTTGAGAAAAAGAATATAGTTTCAAAACTACTTGTTGAGATTTTTTATCAATTCCGTAGGTATAGAGTCTCTGGCGAATAACATTACTGATGTTACCATTTAAATATTGCTCGACATAAAAACATTTGAAGCCAATTAATATTGGTACATCTTCTGGAACTGATGTCGTAATGAGATGTAGATGTCGCTCTTGTACTGGTTTATGTTTTATATCATAGTTAAACTGGTCAATATTGTCAAATTTCCCCTCAAACTGTTCTGCCAGTTGGGTTAAATCTTCGTGAACATCAGATAGAGCTAAACCAATGCATAGTGCAAAGGTGGTGCAAATAAACAACTTGCGGAAAGACATGGTACTGAAACAAAAACACTGAATAAATATTATATCAAAATCACAATAGGACTATATGACCTGGCATCTGACTGATTTGCCCCCCTAGAAAAATAGATTGCACCACCAAATTGTACCCCCACTTTATTTCTAAGGAATTTGAAATATATGATTTTTATACGTTTTTGAACCAAAAAATGTGTTAAAATGCACCTAATCAATTCCATTTTTCGAAACTTTTCTATGAGAGGATTGCAACAGCCCCAGTCAGCCCCCTATTTGTACCCCCAGTCTCGGGAGGCTGGTGCCGTCACTGGCTGTGGTCGTCAGTCTGAGCGGTCGAAATCTACCATTGATCGCAGTTCTCGAAATTAAAGAAATATTAGCGCGTGTCCAGCTCGACGTATCGTGAGTTGCTGTGAATCGTCAGTATATACATGAACCCATGAATCGTCAGATCAACTGCCCATATTTACACTAAGAAGAGAGACAGCTTTCATTACTCACCTTGTGACAATAAAGTGTTTCAATACATAGGTACATAGGTTATCATGATATCACAGAGCTTGTGATTGGGATATATATCGTCTTACTGTAATATATTAAAGGGACAGGTTGGCCATTTTCGGTGGTTAGTTTGGGTCTTGAATATAATGTAAATAATCTTTAGAAATACTAGAAATGTACGAAAATTCCTTCAAAATTACCTCAAACTAGTAGTGGGACTTACTATTTCCATATATATCTTTTCTATATATGATATATATGTCTATTCCACCTTCAAAAGCGGATAATTTTGGACACACATGGATTTGAAGACTCAAATTTCGATGGTGAGCTGTGATTGGCTTAGCTCAAAAATTCCCGTTTCTGATACTAAAGTACAATTGGTCAAAAAATGGCCCACATGTCCCTTTAAGTTCATTTACCTTTAGATAAATGTTTGATATTGTGTTCAAGTGGCAATAATGGGCGGTTTGGTGACAACACATGTACAGATCATTAAGAGGGCGTATAATAATTTGTTTGGTTTTATTTTGGTTTTTTTAGTGGGGGAGGGGGGGTTACAGGGATGCATGCGGACCATATTATAGTAAAATTAATTTCAAACATAAAGCCACATCATCTTAAGAATATTTAAAGGATAAAATAAACCACTGGACACGATAATGAAATATAATTATTTTATATCGCTATGTAGGTACATCAGTACGTAAACTAAGTAATATTTGTATGTACCCCATGTTGGCCGCGTAAAACTGTCCCGATATTGACACTAGATACTGATACGATGAAGGAAATATTCAATATCGGGCCATTCGTGAGGACATCCTTAGCAATCTCAGGCAATCTCAAGCTACGACAGCTAATTCGTGAGTAAAATCTTTGGCATGCCGAACAATTTCGAAGGATGTGGCGAATAATCATTTTTGTGCTGAATTCGTGTGTCCATGTTGCTCTTCGTAAGGCCATCGTGAGGGCATCGTGTCGTCTTACTTCGTATTATCATCGATGCCATTGGGCATTTTTCGATTCACGAAGAAAACACGAAGCTGCCCGATTGTCTAAGGCAGGTTTCACAACTACGTGAAGCCCTAACAATGCCGTCGCAGATCCTTCTTGGATCCATCGTATCATAGTGCGATGACATCACGATGGGACAACAGTGTCGGTGAAGAATTTGAAATAATTTTGAAATCTACAGTTGTTCTGCTCGCGATGTGGTGTCATCGTGTGCGGTTAAAGTTGTGCCTTAAAGTAGATTGACTGCTGTCCTAGTTCGGGGCTAGTTTCGTCTGAACTTTTCTTATTCGTATGGTCATCTGGTATCAAAATCGGGACAGTGTGAAGCTGGCATTAACAACGGTACAATATTATCCGGATAGTGATAATATATAAATATAATATAATAATAGTGACAAAAGATTTTATTTATGTTGTAAATCAATATATTGAGGATGAATTCCAGTGTACTATTTTTTGCCCGCTATTTTTGGTCATTCCTGTCCTTTTACGTAAAATGAATATGTTCCTTACTCCAATGCCATTTATAGATTTAAAAAGCTTCGGCAATTATATATTTCAGATTTATTAGATACGCAATCAGCTTTTATCATAGAACTAATAACTCTTTATATTTATCTATTTAATTGTTGTCCTCGGGTAAACATGCATATACATTTATATTTAGACTTGTTTTCTTCCATTTATTTGTTGCTATTGTATAATCTATATATTTATTTTACTTATTATAGTGTGTCAATGTTCGGTTATTATTTATTGTATATTGTTTATAATTCTTCGGCAATAACAAGTAATTGCTTAGCTTAATCTAACTATAATCAATATACTACCATTGCTACAGGAACATAATACTACCGTTGCTTAAAGGAACATGTCTGCATCCTTGATAAAAATAGATTTCCACAACTTTTATGTTCTTCAATGAACTACATGCACAATACTATCAATAACATTGCTTTTTATATAAAGATTCAATTCGCAAATATTTATTTGTCAAGGATAACATTTAATAAATACAATCATGCACCCATTCTTCCTGCATATCCACCAAAAACTAGGCATGTCGCCTATCAAAAAACAAATCATTCAGCTAAATATAATATACAATGTACATATTGAAACATCTGCCTCTATTCTAACCTCTGATAGACAATTTGACAGTAGTTGTCGACTGGAATGAAAAACTAAGATAATGGAAGTCAGCGGACATAGAGTTGTATTGTCGTTGATCAATGAAAATGAAAATGCTGATACTTATATGAATAGAAAGTAGAAGTGTTACATTGACTTTGAAAAATACCAGTTTGTCTCACATGTCCATAATTAATTCATAATTAGCTACATTAGAAGAGAATTATAAGCAGAATTCCAATGAGTGACCGATCAAGAAAGGTCAAAAAGTATTTTTTTGTTATCCAGACTATACATTTATGATTGGTTCAAACTCTTAATTATAGCCTATGCAATGGGAACATAATGATAAGATTGACAATAACATGACAATTCATTAGAAACACCAATTAATCTAACAGTTTGCTTAATTTGACACTAAAAAAAATAAGGAAACCCATCTATAAGACCCTTCTTCTTAATGTTGGTAATTCCAATGCAATATTACACCCGTGATAGACGTTACACTTCGCATTTAACTGGGCAAAATCTTTGCTGTATAGTTGGAACGAATATGAACAAGGCCTATAAAGTGGATGGTTGCAGATTCCGACTGCTAAATCAATATATATTCCCCCAGATTCTGTCAACCGCACAGGAAGAGGCGAAGAGAATCATTTAACTTCTGTTGATACTGCAAATATTGTACGTTTTGTATATCATGTGCATAGTTTGATTCGGATACAAATTTCAATGGGCGACTTATCACAGCAAATATATTGCACATGAAATTACCAGTATAGGCAAGTACAAAATGAAAAGGTAATATGTCTGTCATAATAGATATAATATAATAGTTCATGTAGGCTATTGTAGGGGTATATTATAATGTAGCCCATATTCGAATAAAGGACTATGCGTAAGAGTAGGCCTATTACCAATACATGTTGGGGTGGTGCCAAGGTTATTATTGGATCAATTCCATAAAGTCCTCCCGATAAGTTTTACCCTTCATTTAATTATTAACTTAACCTGTACACCTTTCTTACCGTTTAGATATGATAGGCCTACAGTAACCTACTGACCTCTTACTTTCGTCAGTATAATAAATATTACTAATTAGATTCAAAACAGTTGGCCTTATAAAGTCCAAAGAATATCCTTGGAATGATAGAAATATAAAAATGGGTCTATATTAAAGGCCATATTCAGCTAAAATCTAGTACATGTTCGGTTGAAGGTATATTAAGATAACATATCATTCAAATGCAATACTCTGTTGGCTAGAAGTTGTTAAGCATAGCCCATCCAATGAAAAAAAATATCAGTCAAATTCGATTACCGACAAGAGTGTCAGGACAGCAGACCAAATTTCAGCCCTTTTAAAATCCAATTGTTCTCATTCAGGCCAGGAGCGAAAAAAAGGTCTTCGAGGCAAAGTTTAACTTAAAACAGAATAAATCCCTACCAGTTCCCTGAGAGTTTGATTCCATTAAAATATTAAATGGAGTTATTTCCCTTTGACTATGATTAAGTCAAATTTGCATACCATAATCTTAAAATATATTCCCCCGGTTTCATCATCGTGGATGCAAATATGAAGTTCAAAATAGTGAAATGAAGAAACTTTCCACATGCTCCGCATCTTCTATCTCCAATTATCTTTTTCGTTCCAAATAAAGTTAAAACATTCCATTAAATTAGTACATCCATCGTGCGCAAGCGCAATGACTATCTTCCTGTCCCTAATCCAAAATGGCATCCCACTTGTTGAAGGTCACGACAAATTTAAGTAAAAATCTTCTATTGTCATCAAAGGTATACTTTATAACTTTACCATTCCTTATTCCTACTGTTCAATGAATTCGTCGGGTGTTTTAATTGTTTTTGTATACTCACATTTCTGTCTGATCACCTTGTTATGATTTCTAACTTGGGTGTCTATTGGATTGGCATTTCGCACTTTCTTTTAGTTTATTCAATTTCATTTGTTTCATTATAAATTATCAGTTGAAAAGAACCAATTAATTGGATCTACCATTAACTTCTTGCCGTTGAAAATGCGATGATACTAGCTGAATAAAATTTTTATAGGTCTAATATGGAGCCATTGTTTTGCATGAGACATAGCTGGTCACTAACAACAATCTTAATTCTTTCTTATGTAACGTGATATGCACAACGCAATGAATATTAAGATGTGTAATATTAATTGTGGTGCATCATCTATTTAATTTCTAATGTAGTTTATGAATTTTGTGTTTTTTCAGAAGGTTGTGCCAGTAACATGTAGATGGAGATCAACTCAAGCAAATGTTTATGAAGAAACTCTTTTCAATGTGCCAGAAACCAAAGTGACAACTTTAAGCAATGGCATGAGAGTAGCTACTGAAGATTCTGGTTCTCCAACATGTACAGTGAGTAGTCTTTCTATCACATGGTCTTGCATTGCTTAAAGATTCCCAGGAAATATAAATATGATCATTTCTCATTGAATTGAAGTCATATTTTGTTAGCTTTAGATTGAGAAAATCTAATGGAAAGTCAATTTAAGTGCCAAATTCCATAAAAAAAATTCTCAATGTCATCTTGCACAGATTATGATATACCGGTATTTATTAATATTATTTGACTGTAAGGTTATTGTTTGGTTGTTAGGTTGGTTTGTGTATTGATGCTGGTTCCAGATGGGAAAATAAACAAAATAATGGTACTGCTCATTTTCTGGAACATATGACATTCAAGGGGACAGACAGGCGATCAGAGTCAGATATTGATTTAGAAGTTGAAAATTTAGGGGCTCAACTCAATGCCAACACATCTAGGGAACAGACATTTTACTTTGCAAAATGTTTTTCTCAAGATATGCCTAAAGGTTTGCAACATTATTAATATTCATTTTTGTGTGCAGAAGATATATTTATATATGATTTCATACTATAAAAAATGGAAGTGGAGCATAGGCTAGTATAGAATCAACCCCTGTCTGATATTGTAATCTAGAACATGAAGTGGATTCACAGAATCCTGTAATTTAGAAGAGGTATGCTTACTTAAAAGGGATCATTGATATTAAGTCTTAATAAGAAACTGGGCAATGTATTTCTATTAAGAGTACGAAATTGGATATTGTGTGTTTCAGCTGTTGATTTGATATCTGATATAGTACAGAATAGTAAAATAACAGAGGAAAATGTAGAGAAAGAGAGAGGTGTCATTTGCAGAGAGATGCAGGTAAACTTATTTTCTTTTTAGTTAAAAGCTGAACTGCGTACATAAAAGAGCTCAAAAAAGAAAATTAAATGCATATTTAGAAAATCTTTCATTTTCTGACAAATATAGAAAAGTTTACTAGATTAGTTTACTTAAATTAATCAATAGGTGCACCAAGTTTCTGTTTCTCCAATACAAATCCTAAGACTATTTTCAGTCCCCACAAAATTTAGACATACTGTGAGTGATTTTCAAGAACTCAATCTTTTTATTGATTGGACTATTTTATAATTGTGAATATAATGTGCCCTCCTTGTTACCTCCAAGATAGTCCTGGAAAATCTCTATTTTTTTAGGCTTCTCCCTGTATATCTTTTAATGTCATTATTGAATCAATGATATTAACTATTGGATTATTTTTATTTCAGGAGGTAAACTATGATATGAGAGAAGTAGTCATGGATTATTTACATACTGTGGCTTACGAAGGCACACCATTAGGTTTTACTATACTGGGTCCTTCTGAAAATGTTAAGTAAGTAGGGCTTATTTTGAGTCCTAGTAATGTTGATAAGAAATTGGAAAAGCTGATTTTTGTCACCTTTTTTTTTACAATGAAATAAAACTTGTTGATTTTAAATAATCGGTTATTGGCCAACATTGGGTTGTAGAAATTCAACAATATTCAACGATATTATAGTATATTTGTTGTGTGTCACTTTGCCTTAAAAGCCGTCTTTGTTTTTGTTTTTAGTACTATCAGCAGGAGTGATTTGGTGAATTTTCGAAACACCCATTACAAGCCACAGAGAATGGTTTTAGCTGCCTCAGGAGGTAGGAAGATGTATTTTTCTATCGTAATTAGTATTATAATTATTATAATTCCTCATTATTATTTAACTACATTTAGCCCCTGCAATTATAAATGAATTAAAAGTGCATTTCATTATTTGTTAAGTGTTTTACTATGTTGTATTAATTTAATTTCTCTGTATTTTCTAAGGAGTGAATCATGACAATTTAGTAAAGATGGCAGAACAATATTTCTCTGGTTCAACAGCTGCTCCCAGTTTTGATATACCCACCATTGAACCTTGTAGATTTACAGGAATGAGTGTAAGTCTGCTATTTTTTCATTTCTTTCTCAGAAGCTCATCAGAATCCCAGGTTGAAGTTCCACAATATGTCAATGAGGGCCCTTCGAAGTTTTAAGCTGTTTTAAAATTAATAGTAAATATGAAAACTGAATTAAATTTTGATGAAATAGGCTGAACTGTTTTGATTTAATTTTTTATTTGCTCATAGAAGTCTAAAGTTTTAGTGCAATTTAGATGAAATTTGGTATTCATCTTAAAACATGCTATGTAGCCATCAGCAATCCTATATATATACAGTATATATTAAAACTGACAGATTTCAATTTTTATTCCTTGCAGATAGTTGAACGAAATGATGATATGCCCTTAGCTCATGTAATGGTTGCAATGGAAAGTGTTGGTTGGAATAATCCTGATAATATAGCACTACATGTAGCCAGTATCATCATGGGTAATTGGAACAGATCCTATGTTGGCGGCACCAATCTCAATGGTTTAGCAGCATTCTGTGCAGCAGAAAATATTTGTCACAGTTATGAATCTTTTATGTCCACCTACTCTGATACTGGATTATGGTAAGGTTATGTAAATAGATAAGATAAGATATCTAAGTCTGTAGTAAATTGATAGTAAAATGCTGTAAGTGCTACTCCAATATTAATGTCAAATCAATTTGATATTTCCTAGCTTCATCTTTCTACCAATTTGTTTATCAGCAGAGCTGCACTTAATTGGAGTTCAGAGAACAATAGTTATGTCCATTGTTCTTCAAAATGCAATGATTTGCTAATCTTTACATTGAAAGACTAAGTTCCTTGCACAGTTTCCTATATATTAACAACTAAGAACAAATTTTATCTTATTATATTGTTTTCAGGGGTGCATATTTTATAACTGATAGATTTAATATAAGAGATACATTACATGCTGTACAACAGGAATGGTGAGTGATTTGTTTCTCTCAAGATGTCTGTTTGATATATAGTCTTATCACCTATAAGTATAAATCTGCTTTAACCCTGTGACAGTGCCTTCTGTTCAATAGTAACTTTTTACCTTTCAATCACCCTAACCACTAGCAGTAGCTTGACCATCTGCAAAATCTGCAAATTTTGATTCTAGAACAATGGGGTGTCACATTACAAGGCTGTTTTTTTTTTAATTATGCAGCTCAGGTTTTATTAAGATCCCATAACAAGAAAGAGTGAGCTGTTCTACAATCTTGAGAAATTTTCTAACTGATTATGTGACCTGCTTTCCTTTGTCAGTATTTGCAGGATTTGTGTTGTTAGTTATGCACACATTCTGACAAATTTTGCCTCATTGCAGACTTATGAACATGTCCATTAAATCCTAAAGTATTCAATCTACTCCAGGATGAGACTGTGTACTCAGGTAACAGATGTAGAGGTTGAGAGAGCTAAAAATAAGTTAAAAACTAGCTATTTATTACAATTAGATGGTACAACACCAGTCTTTGAGGATATAGGACGGTAAGTTTTTTTTATGTTATTTTGGTTTTTGGTGCTGAATAGTGTAATGTTTATTAGATTTGGTGATGATAATAGCTGGTTTCTCCTTGTGATGCATGATAAGGGATAAGTGTTTTTAAAAAGTGTAAAAAGATGGTTAATGCTGGTGTTTTGGCAATATTTCTCTGATTGCACACTGCATGGCAGGAACTTTCTTAAAACAATCCAGTGCAAATTTGTTTCAGACTGAAATTATGTTTGTTTTAAGCTGTAGTAGAGTTTATTTAGATTCAGTATTACCAGGTCTAGCTGATTAATATAAAATTTGGTCTTTATTTCAGACAAATGTTGAATTATGGAAGAAGAATTCCCCTTGCAGAGTTTGAACAAAGAGTCAATGTAAGAATATATTTTGAATTATGATTGGTTAAAACTTAATTATATGCAATAAGAACATGATATGATTAAGAATACATGATAATTCATTAGAATCAGAAATTAATTAAATAGTTTGCTTTATTTGACATTAAAATAATAAGGAAGCCAAACTGATATTACAGTAAATGTATTATTTTGATATTGACAGGCTGTGGATGCTAATTTGGTTAAAGAAGTATGTAATAGATATATTTATGATAAAGGTCCAGCCGTAGCAGCTGTTGGTAAGAGAATTTTTTTAAATATCATCTTGATAAACAATGGCATTATTGTTGTCGCCAATATTGGATGGTACATGCTTAATGTAAGCTCTCTTTAAGACAGGGAACACATTGTCTAAGTTCCACTTTTGAAACAGTAGTTTCTTCCTAAATAAATACCTTCAGATACTTCAATTCAGTTTCCCCTTGCTCAGAGAGATACACTTGTAGATCAGGGGTTGACATGGAGAAAGTGTGTCTAGTCATTTAAATGGGACAAAAGAACCTGATACCCAGTGCACATGTTGAAGATCTCTCAACCCTTGATAGTCAATGTGTCTAATGCTGCTGTCTTGACACTCTATATGACTCAATCAGACGAAGAAAAGTAAGACTCCATTTTATTTTATTTCAGGCCCCACAGAAGATCTACCTGATTATAACAATATTCTTGCTGGTAACTATTGGTTACGAGTTTAATGGTGGAATCAGTATATTGGTGTGACTGTTTTCCGATTCATGTCTGTTTGGTACCCAAGTCTGTCCGTCTGTCTCTCACACTGGCTTGTATTCAACAGGTTTTTGTTTTTGGTATGATTGTAAAAACAAGATAAAGTAATATTACCTTTCCATAGAGATCTTGTTCACACTGACACTAACTTGCTTGACACATTGTAGGTATTTTAACTCTTTGATATAACAGTGAAGTTTTGGGAAGTATGTAGTAAGACCTTAGGTATAGGATCTTCAAATAATATTGAGTCTTTATCTATCAGACAGAAGTAGGCATTTCAACTGTTATAGCCAAGCAACGGTATTTGTATAAACTTAAATGTTACTTCATGTGTGAAAACATTGTTGCTTGACTATAGATAAGTTTATGCCATCTTAATGTGTGTTTTAAGTGCTATAATTTAAGTTGAGAACTAACTGAAAATTAGATTTATTTAAGAAATATCGAGCAGCAGATATATGATAAACATCTGTAATGTTATTTTAGTTCATTAAAACATTTCAAAACATGTTCATCTTGTTATTGAGATTGAAGGTACTGATATGTAAATTGGTTGAAACAGATAAACTGTTGTCTCAGTAATATTTTCTTCGATACACATTGCAGTGCCAATCATGAGACCCTGGACTAAAAGGGAGTGCTTGACAAATCGCTAGAATTTAGTTCAACAGGAAACCTTAGACCAATCAGAAGAGATTTGTCCAATCAAGAGATCTTAGACCGATAGGGAGACACTCGGGACGATCTGGAGGCAATAATACTGAGACACTTGTGATATCTTAGGCCAATCGGGAGATCTTGACCAATCAAGAGAGATTTCAAATTTCCAAAAATCACATATTTTGATCTACCCACATTTCTGCTCAGTGGTGTTTCTCCAGGGTGAACACCCACACCCCTTTCCCCCTCTAGCTGGCAGATTGTGACACCATTCGTCTCAATCTCAAATGTACTTTAATCAAAATAGCTGTGTATGTTTGACACAAGGAAGCTAAATGACACCAATGTGTGTTATTGTTTTGGATGTTTTCTATCAATGCCGTTCAAATACAATCGATTACATGGTATTTGACTCGGTCGAAATACAAAAGTACAGAACATCGACAGTCATATTAATATGGCCGAACTTTAAAAAAAATGGAATTTGGAAAAGATCGCCAGTTAGTACCTTTGCCATTTATTATTACGAAATGTTTAGATGTCTACAGGAAACGGCCTAAATCCTATCTCCACTTGGACAATCAAAGCAACAGAAATCTTTGTATGTGACTGTGGTAGTTTCCTTTTGTCAGACATGTCTGCAATTGTGTCAATTTAAGGTCACAAATTCTACTGGTATAGCCTCCTGAATCATTAGCGCCTCTTTAAGATCTCCCAATTCAATATTGGTATGGTTACAATGAACGACTTATAGAGAATACAGAAGAATTTCTCAATAATATCTTAATCCATGTCAATCGATCGTCACAGGCGCCACTCTCCAATCAATGCACACATGTTTACGAAAGGAGATGGTTTTGAGCATACGGGAGAAACCGAAATCTCAGTAATTTTTCTAGTCCGAATAAATCTATCGCATTTCTCTGGAGATTTCCATGGGGAGGAAAAATTTAATAGATCCAAGAAAAGTGTAATCTCACTTCAAAAGCCAATAACGTCTTGTAACATCTAAATTTATGGTGAACATGGCCATCAACAAACAAATGCTCTTGGCCATTTCTATAGGGTGGTGAGCTTGTACACTTCTGTAATACTAATGAATTGAAAGTGCCAGACAAGTGCTCAATCTGAATCCACTCAGTAATAAATGGCGCAATTGATATTTTCAGTAGGTATAGATAATTTCCTCAGATTTAATTCCAAAAATCTTCAAGCCGCATTGGTAAAAAAGGACGTTTTCCTCAAGTCTGGTACTAACAGTTATATAATCTAACTGAACCAAACCAACGACTACCATTCGACTACTAATCAACAACAATTACAACGAAGAAGAAGTTTGAAGGATTGAGTAACTCACACACTATATCGTCCAGGGCCGAGTTACACCGCCATCGACAATAGTATAGATTTCGTGGACACTGCGGTGTTCAAGGGAAATGATTTCGAAAAAACTCCCAAAGTTTTTTAAGGAGACTGATACGCACCAACTTTTGTTCAAAAGCTCGTTTCTGGTTACTCAAGATGATATCTACGCCAAATTAAAAACGACACGTTATTACAACTTCAGAAGAAAAATGACTCTCCTCCTTCGCCTACTGGATTTGGTTAAAAACCTTGTGGTTGTTCTACGTGTCGTACCTACGAACATGTACCTATTTCTCATTTATAAAAACAATAAAACCGGAAAAAAATGATTGACCAAATTTCATGTAAAAAAAAATGCGACATACAGTATATTGGAAAAACAAAGAACGCGCTGCGAACTAGTTTTAACGGCAGTCGTTACGATCAGTGGCTGAGCCATGGTAGACTTAACCCTCAATAGTCTTAAAATTCCTTTTCTTTTGAATTTCATACTATGACTATTCATATTAATGCTTCTTATTTTCTTATAGATACATGAAAAGATTTTGTTTCACAATAAATACAGATTTGATCTTTATATGATTATTGATATATCAGAAGAATGTTGGTTCTTATATTTTCAGCTATTTCAGCTAAAGAAATGATACTACCATAGATGGTATTACAGAGACATCCTTAGTTAACGTATCTACTTATCCTTCAACTTTCACTTTGTTTTATCATAAATCTTAAATTTGTAACCGGTTTCATGAGACACATCACCATCTAACACTGCCATGTCATTCGACCCGAACAGATCACACGAATTATTAACAATCAAAACCAACAGCACAGAATCATCCAATTTGAACCAATTCAACTACCAACAATTACCTAGTTTGCGATATCAGCATTCGCTGGAATCGAATGTTAACTTGTCATCTACCAACCAAACAACCAGTCCTAATAAGCCTAATTGAATTATTGAAAGCAAATACCAGACATTTTTTTAAGAGAGACAGGTAACATGCAGTTGGATTGTTTATGATTTTTGTAGTTATATCAGGTTATGTAAGAACATTAACAGTTCCGAAACGCCTGATTTCACACTGTCACTCGTTCCGTCCACAATAGCACAATAATGTTTGTTTGGTATTTGTATTGGACACACAATAACACATTTACAGTCTTTATCTTGGTTGAAAGAGATTTCTTGGTGCTCAATACCAAGGAGGTGATTGCTAGACCAGAATATTTTAAATGTGTCGGCTGGTCGATTATCGATTTATCTATTGGTGTTCTTTGTTGTCAGAGCTGTCCCAATATTACATTTCTTCCTAATACCCTTTACATTACACATAACATTCGTTTTGATAATTGTCTTCAGTACGTGGCAAATGAGTTATTGTCGGAAAAGCGTAACGAGAACTGTTCCAAATTAGGCTAACTCTGAAAACGATTGTGAGAACAGAAAACAAAGGGTGTCACTGTGGTCTACTGGGATGTTTTGTCTCAGATCTGACCGATCACCCAAGAGTAATCATACATATTATAACTGAACTAATTCAATTTGAACCATCTTGAGATGATCTCAGAAACATCGAGTTAGTCGAGATGTAAATCTCGGGTACGTTTTCCAAAGAAATTCGACAATTGAATGCTAATGGAAAGGGTGTCGAGGACAGTTGATAATGCCATCATAATCACTCGCGAAATTTCCTGCATCATTGATCAAATACTAGTACAACGCTAGACAGCTTGACAAATAAATAAATAAAGACAGACAGACAACGAGATCCAAGCAAAATCATGCCAAGAACATGTTTCTCTTTACATTGTATGATTCTGTTCTGCATAAATGAGAAAGAGTTCATTAAATTACAATAATGAAAAAGTGACGTTCCGATCTGTTAGTGTTATTTTGGATTCTGGTTTTCCGATAGCGACAAATATCACTCAGAACCTCTCTTTGAAAGAATTGGAATTGAAGTATTCTAGTATTCAAATTCAACAAAAGATACATTATAAATATAAAAAATTCAATGATTTGTTTAACATTAAAGTATTCAATGTGCCACTCTTAGTGCAACCCCAATCCCCCATTGCAACAAACCACCAAACTTCTATCTTTAAGAAAGAAATGAATGGACTTTGCAACCAAACAATTCGGGATATTTCATGTTCTGAAATGTATGGCTTTACACTGACATCATTTGGTATGACAGTCTAGAAATGTTTGGGTTATAAATATTTAAAACTCAAATCGATCAAAAAGTATCAAATAAACAAGATTTATTTAAGAGCAAAATATGCGTAAAATTTGATTGTCTTCACAGTAAGGAAAAAGTCACATTTTCTGACCCTGGAAAACATTCTAAAATATTTTCTTTTTATGTGAATTTCCATTGGAAAAACCAAGACGCATCTCGCATCAGTTTGAAAGTAATGTTTAGTGTGAAAGTTTATGTAAAAAATAAGCTTAGAACACCTGGTGGTAATTTTGAATTCTTTGGGTGTAATGAGGTGCTTTGTAGTCTATAGCATAAAAGTCGTTTTATTCAGTCATGAAAAATATTGCAGAGAAAACCTAATGGAAAATCACAAAATAGTAAGGATTCGTGGGGGTTAATGCAATCGATCAAGATATCCTGGAAGGGGTTAAAAAAAAGGATGAAAACCCCTGGCTTAGAAAAAAGGGGGCTGTGTTATTTTTGTAATTTGTTTTAGATATGTAGTTTCAGAAAAATAATCATAATCGAAAATGTAATTGGCTGATTTTAGGATGCTTTGAATGCCATTTTTAATGTTCTTTTCTTGTGACTGGTAGACTCTTGCTTACTCAAGATCGGGGTCTAAATATCCGCCTAAAATTTAATAACCCTGTTTTCTTTGTACTGATGCAGCTCGGGTGTAGTTTGTTCGGATCAAGACAAAGATACCACGACAGTAGTTTTTTTAATATTATTAATTTACTGCTCTGCTAAACTACAAGCCATTGTTTGTATCTATTAATCCAAAAAGGAATACAAAAGAAAGACACTCAGTTCCTTTACCAAACTGGTCGTGGCACAGATTTGGTTTAACAAACAAACAATGAATTGAAAGTGATTTTTAAAGAGCTTACAGTGTGGTAGACTTCTGGAATAAAATGTATTATTGATGTGGCGCGGCATTTTGAATTTTTTTAAAAATAAAAAAGCTAAAATCGTTGATCTGAACCCGCTGTGGTCAAGGTATAGGATTATGTCAGTTATTCTTTTTTACCGATACAAATGCCATCTACCAAATACTGGCAATGCCTTAGATTGTTTTTTGTTGGTTAAGACTTCTTTGTATGAAAAAAATGCGTTGAAAATGTGTCAAATGGGGGAGTTGTCCCCTTAAAGAATATGCGGTATGTTGAAGCCTAATTTCAAGAAAAAGGCAGGCTTATATTCACATTTGAAATATGTGACGTGGTATTGTTTAAGGTGTTCCTTTCATAGAATTATTTTATGCGGGTATTTGTGGAATATGCTCCATTAAGCATAATACAAATATTAAAGGGAAGGATAGATACTTCAGTGGGAAAGTAAGATGTTTGGCGTCTTTAGCTAGGTTACGGAAATCGAAAGCATTCCAGAAGAAAACAAATTTAAATAGAGCCTTGATTCGACAACCGTGTCAATATTTAAAATGTTTGTAGATCTGGGAAAGGGATTGAAGGGTAGAAATTGAAGGAAACAGACGGAAAGGCGTGTATAAGATATTGTCTCAAGGTAAATATCACATAGTTATGTCTCAAAGTAAATTTGTCCACACAGTAGATCGCTGTTTCGTTTCCCATTGGGGTCTTGGCACATATAAAAGCTCGGAGATAAATTGATCTACCTTCATTCGACGTTTACATCGGTCAGTGTTCGGACGTGCTAAAACAGTAATTTTACTACAATACAGTGGATAGAAACATTATATCGGGTTTGAAGTTTTTAATCCTTTATTTTCCGAGTAAAAACGTTATTTCTTTGTACAACTATGAAAATGTTGTCGATAGTACTTCAGATACCTTTGTTAATTTCGTCAGCCTTTGCTGCAACTAGGCTGGATATCGACTGTGGTGAAAATGGTATATTTAATTGTCATGTAACTGATCCAACGATTTTCACTCGATGTCTGGAAGGATCTCTGTATGAGTTCTACTGTCCAGATGGACTACATTTCAACACATTGACACAGACCTGCGACTGGCCAGAAGCGGCTGACTGTACCTATCTTATTGGAGCGAACGGTGATGTGTCTCATCAAGCAGCAAAGAAAATTAAAGCTCAAGACGGTGATGACAATGAAGACTCATGGGTCGGGGAAAATTCGTTGCATAAAGAAGCTACAGAATTACCATGGTGGAGACCAGCTGGTGTTGATCCCAAATCCTGGGAGGATGTGGATGGTATTTGGGAATCACCAATAGAAGTTAAAGGATTTGTGCCAGAACAACCAAGCAGAAAGAAGGAGAACGAAGTAGATGAAAGTGATAAAGAGTCAATCAAGGTGAAGAAATCTCACAAGCCGGTAAACGTAGACACATCATCGTCGTCTGGTGGAGATTTACCATCAGATAAAATATGGAGACCAGATCTGGCTAGTGCTTCAAATCGACAAGGGCGTAAGTACAATATATTATTTTATATTTGACGTTCTATTTCAACGATTAGCGGCTTGTTCAAGAATCGCATCTCTTATAGCTTAGTTCTCAAATTAAATAATGAAAAAAATTCAAAGGTTACTATACTATTTAAAATAAAGACTGAACCTACAACCCGTAACACTAATTCATTCTACCAAAAATATTAGGAGCTCAAAACAAGTGGAACCCACTAATATGTAATAGCCAATTAGAAATTAAAGGGACAGTATTAACGTTGTTAAAATATACTATTATTATATGTATACTTATACCTAATCAAGCTGAATTCGGATTTAAGAGCCTTATAATAGCTCGATATTTTAGTATAAACCTTCTAAATGAGTAGGAGGCATATATCTCCACAATTTTGCGTTTATTAATCTGTACATTAGTTTTCAAACATTAACCATATCAAAGCATCCTTAAAAGGATTGCGTAAACCTTTTGAATGGCTTCGGTGCTGAATAAATTAACTTTTAAATAAACTTTCTAGATTTTGGTGTATTAATTAACCTTCCCAACCTTCTTCAAAATCAGAATGCCCTTTAAAATGACTTTTGCGCTTTGGTAATGAAATTCCCATGTTAAAAGGGAGGATTTTTCGAGAACGTTCGTATTATTGACTGTACTGAAACATTATTCTACTAGTTCTAGAATTGTGCTTCTTTGCTACCTCATTACCTAAACCCTGAGATTTTTCTACGAAATTGCTGGTAACGTCTCGAAATTTCCTCACCATGGAGTTTATACTAGCCTTCCAAAATTCAAAATCTGGTAAAAACTTTGTTTCCTTTTTGAGAATTTTACTGAAAATTAATTTCATTTGACACATATTTTGAAAGGCCATATTACGATGTCAACGAATATTTTCGTCGTATTTTGGTCTGGTTTCAGCATATATTGACGATGTTTCGAATTTGCGGTATTAAATTATCGACTTTTGAGTTATTGGTCATGACTTTGATGCAATTAAAACGATGAAAATAAATTGAAAACAAATAAGTGATGAGTCATAAAATTTAAAGCCTCTAAGAGATTTTGTTTTCTGTGAGCGTATAATCAACTTTCAATACCCTTAGAAATTACCCGATAAAATTTTTACGCAATCTTATTAACCTCGATTCTTCTTTGCCAACCTTTTGGAACCGCTGTGCACTATCACACGGTACCGCTTCGCACAGAAAACCAAGGTGAAAAACCATAAGTCTCTGAAAAACTCTGCGATGGGCGAAATTGAAAATTGAAAACTATTGGCGAGGTCGACAAACAGCTTTATTGTGATAATGGTTATTACGGACAAAAAACACTTCGTTATGTACCTTGATTCTTGATTACCATCATATTCTCATAATTATGATTTTGTGTAATTTTGTGAAGTTTTCAACTATAGATAATCATTTATATGTGTAGGTCCACGAACACCTTCTGAGACTTTACATCATCTGAGACAGTTGCAGGTGCTGACAATTTATTTGCTCTCTGATTTTGTGTAAACTCCTGAGCCGCGGTGGCTCAGTGAGTTAGACGCTTGCTCGCTAACCTGAAGGTCCAGGGTTCAATCCCGGCATAGGTCGAGGTAATACCTTCGGATTATTCAACCCGGTTTCCCCCTGTCAGTGATGCAGGTAAGAGGGGCTGACATGGAAAAAACGTCTAGTCGTTCGGATGGGACAATAAACCGAGGACCCGTGTGCTACAGGCTGTGCACGTTAAAGATCACTCGACAGTTGGTAATCGAAAAAGAGCAGGCTAATGCCGCTGTCCTGGCAAAATTTCCCTCATCGCACACTGCATGGCGTTGTCCGTCTTCATTAGCCCACATGGTGCAGAAAAGTAAGACGTAAAACTCCATTCATTTCATTTGTGTAAACTCCCCAATATAGCCGAGTTCGAATTGTGATGTTCACGTTCGAATCACCTTCTTGATATGATAAATTTCTCTATTTGCTGTCCACGAAATAAATTTGTTCTGATATACTCTGAGAATATTCAAAGTAAACGCAGTTGCCCGCAGCTTTTACCAAAATTGGAAATATTCAATTCATTGCAGGGGCGAAGGCAAAGTTTCTCCGATCCATCCTGACAGGAGTTATCCATGTAGATAAGACTGTTTAGGCGCAAAAACGTATGGTAACTGCTAAAGCACGGCGAAGGACCTCGCAATTATTTAGACAAAAAAAACATCAAAGAGGAATTTCATATCGGGTTATGATTAAGTAATTATGTACAAAAAATGGTCCGAATATACTATGAGGAAACGACCATTTAGTAAATGTTATGTTATTAAATGGTCATCGCGTAGAAACAATACGGAAACAACGAAGTGAAACAAACCATACCGTTTGCCTCCGCTTTTTATTTATTTATTTATTTGGCTGTTTACAATAGGTACAATGCTTGATCCTACAGTCGAATAATCCGGTTGTTGTCGTTTGTTTGTTTGTTTGTCAGGCTATGTAAATTATTTGTTTAATTTATACTGAAAGAATTGGGTTTGGTAAACATTGGTTGGGATGAGAGTTATTTGGGTGGAGCGGTTCGTCTAATCAATGTAATGTTTAGCATTGGTACAAATTTTTTATATGGTTTATGCTCATATTTTGTTTGAAGACTGTCCAAGTACAGGTACATAGATTAGCATACAAACTGATTATCATACAGATGTAGATGCTCCTTTCATTCTTTTCATATTCTATGGTTTACTGTACTTCTATGGTTTACTGGGTTTACGAAGGGAGTAACCTTCGGAAAAAAAGAAAGAAATGAAATGCACTTTAATCAGATTGGATTACCAATGCTATACAAAGGGATTAAACTTTTTTTCTGAGGTTTTTGCTCGTTTTTGACAGCAGTTTTTCATCATTTTAAATATGTTCAACACCTACTCCACCTTACTGACTAAATGGACATGTCAAATCTTTTGCATGCATTTTAATATTTTGAAAAATGAAAGAATTGAATCTAAACTTCAAGCACTGTAGTACAGATTAAAATGAGACTTAGGTTGTTTTATTGCCCGATAAAAACTTTTATTTCTTGCGTCCGTACAAAATATTTGGGGATTAATAAAATAGTTATTTAGCGCTGATAAATCTAAAAGAAAACGCAAAGGTACATCCGGTTTGTACTGCAGCCTGTGGTGCGTTCAATTGGACTTTACAACAGGGTGCGGGTAATAGTTAGCAATGTAACGTTACAATTTCGGCTTACAAACCGTCACACATTTACAAACATTGCATCAAGAGTTAAAACAAGGATTAGAAATGTTAGTTTAACAAAATCAACCTCGTGTAGCCATCTCAGACAGTCTTAATAGTTTAAAACCGAAAATACACGTTCTCTCACCAAGATGTCGGCGATACTGACGTTACATTGACGTATATAATTTCACTGATAAAGCAATCATTGAGATTATTGTCAGAACCTTATTGGTATTATTGATGAAATACGGCTCAAACTTCAATAGGTCTCTCTTCACCAAAAAAGTTTAACGAAGTATTTTGTTTTCTTTCTTAACATAAGATTATTTACGTTATCGTACAGATATATTTTGTTAATTGCATAAAGATTGTGTCGCCTGGCTATTCCTAATTTTAGCTGAATAGTATAATATGAGCAACTGGTGAAATCTAGTGGTAACTAAGATATTTCAGTCGTCTGTGCGTTCATGTCTCCTTAATCAGGTTTCGCTCATGTCGCAGATATCACTTATTCTCCTGTCAGCAGACGTTGAAAATCCAGATGCTCTCAGTCTCAGGTTCTGCCAGTCGCGTCCCCTTAATGAACACTGTAGATTTATATATTATGTTTAACATCAGTTTAATGTTTTGCTTTTTTTCTTTTCAGGTAAGTACACCACCGAATGTTTTAGCTTTCTGAACACATAATCACACCCCAGTTAATAGTTTAAACTGATAATTTATATTTATTTGTCATGACAGTAGGTAATATATACATAAACCACCACTTTCTTAAACGTATCAATACTACATTGTAAGTATAACTTAGATTCATAACTTGATGTCCTGCGGGTGGTGGAAACTAACGCATAGTGTTGACGTTGTTTTTGAATCATGAACTCTAACCTACCTTAGTTAAACCTTCAAATTACCCTTGATGTTGTCGGCTTTAGTGTGGTTCTCTAAGGTAACCAGTAAACGAAAAATCACAGAATTTTTTGGAAAGAAAAATTAGTTTATTTAAATGAAAATTAGTTGTCATATAGAAAAACTAGTTCATTTGTAGAAAAATTAGTTTGTAACAGGACAGTTAGTTAGAATAAAGAATAACATGAACAATGAGTAGAAAAACCGGTTAGATTAGTTTGGATTAAGATAAATTTAACTTTTAATTAGGATAAAGCAATTGATAAAGAAAAATTCATATTGATACAGAAAAACCCCGGATAGGGGAAAGTTCAGTTTAATAAGTAAAATTAGTTTATAATAGATCGGGTTTGGCACAGAAATGATACGGAAGATGTAGTTTTGACAAAACAAATATTAGGTATAGTGAACACAGAAACAAAAACGTGTTTCGAAATTGGAAAAACAGACTTAATTCAAAATTGAAAACCAGACTCAATTTGAAATTGGAAAAACAGACTTAATTTGAAATTGGAAAAACAGACTTAATTCAAAATTGGAAAAATAGACTCAATTTCAAATTGGAAAAACAGACTTAATTTCAAATTGGAAAAACAGACTTAATTTGAAATTGGAAAAACAGACTTAATTTGAAATTGGAAAAACAGACTTAATTCGAAATTGGAAAAATAGACTCAATTTCAAATTGGAAAAACAGACTTAATTTGAAATTGGAAAAACAGACTTAATTCAAAATTGGAAAAATAGACTCAATTTCAAATTGGAAAAACAGACTTAATTTGAAATTGGAAAAACAGACTTAATTTGAAATTGGAAAAACAGACTTAATTTGAAATTGGAAAAACAGACTTAATTCAAAATTGGAAAAAATAGACTCAATTTCAAATTGGAAAAACAGACTTAATTTGAAATTGGAAAAACAGACTTAATTTGAAATTGGAAAAATAGACTTAATTTGAAATTGGAAAAACAGACTTAATTCGAAAAAGAAAAGAATATCTACAAGAAAAAAAAATATTTTGAAATGTCAAACTTGTTTTGTGTTACGGAATCTTCGTTTTTAAATGTGTTGCTGTCTCAACATATTCTGAATCTTCTAATCTCTATATAGAAGAGTTGGAGATATAACTCCATTTCATTGTACTTCCAATATGGAAGAAAGTGTTTTGTGGTTAAGGTAGTGTTGTTTTGTTTTTGTAATTTCATGGTGATTGGTTTTTATTTTCTATTGTGATGCATGTTTTAGTGTGTTACTTTTTTTTAAATTTGATCACAAACATTTTATGAAAATGGCAGCCTCTCCGACTTTTAAAAGGTTCAGTTTATAAACTTTTTTCCTTCCAATTCACCAAACCTCTGCCCAGTTGTGAAAAAAAAAATAACTTAATTGCTCGATAGATAGCGGCACATCCGCTTTGAAAAAATCGCAACTATGCTTTTATCGTTCTTGCAAAAATATTCCGATATCCTTTATACAGCCTGAGGTCATTGTCGTCCCACGCGTAGAGATTCTATCCCAGGACTATAGAGAAACACCCGGCTTTAAGTTCTTGTGGTTTCATGTCTTTAATTGAAACGGTATTTTGATGTGCTTTCAGTTGTTTGATGAATTCATCTGTTTATTTAATTCTTCCGCTAAGAATTATTTTCTATTTAAAAATACCCTTTGAGCTTTGATACCGTAGAGATGTAATGACGCACAGAGGGCCGCATGCTTGTATCTGGTTTAAAGCTCTGGCCGTGCTAAACTATGTTTTTTGGCTACAGATTGGACATGAAGGTCGCTCTCCCCAAAGGTCACGAGATATAAATATTCAAACTTTTCTGATCAATGTCTCAAATACTTCGCTATTCGCTAGAATAATTCTCTTCCTGCTTAACGCGATAATGCTTGTTCATTTGTCACTTCTTGCACCCAAAATTGTTCGGTTTATATATTAAATATAACAATATTTATACGCATTACATAGTCTAGTCATTCTTGGTGATAGTGAAAGAACAATGGGGAACATGCAGTTTGAATTTCAACTAAGTAGTACAAAGGTATAGAGCAATTCATGCTGTCTTCAATAGCACAGAGAATGTACGAAAACACATCCTGTGTAATCGATGAGTTCCTATTATAGGATATAACCGACTAAATATGTGCTTTACCATCTGATCGAGCTTAATTTCAGCTGTTCATGTCGCCTATCAAAACAAGAAACCAACGTTCTGTTGCATCTGCAATTACAAAAAAATACGAATATCTGAAATTGAGCAATAAGCTGAAAAGCATAGATTTTGACGATCGTATCCCTTTAAAGGTGCATAATCTGGTGCAGTTGAGGGCAGTGTGCATGCTATTCAGCCACGTAGTCATTACCTTAAACACAATGATAATGCTGAGGGTCATGAAGAGGGTTGCATTGTGCCAAATGATCCCAAGTCAGTTGTAAGTATTGATGGATCTATTTTCTATCTTTCTGGTTGGTTGTTGTAAATATGTTATTGTAGTACTATGTAAGTATTAAGTGGAACTGAAAGATGTTGTGTTCACAGTTTTTAGATGTAGTTTTTTTGGTGTTGGATTTATATTCTTTGTTATCTTTCCGTTATTACCATTTACCTTATGTATAGATTAACTGTTAACGTAATGTTACATGCACTTTAGAATGTCAATGTATGCTTTATCAGAGTTCTAGAAAAGTCCTAGTATAATATACCTATTTAGTATTCAGTATGTTTTATTCGTCACCATCATCTACTTTAAGTTCCGTAACCTTCGGTTGGTAATGTATAGCATTTTTGTTACTAGTATCCTTCAGTTATATCCTTTTTTCAAAACACTACCAGACATATTTCAAAAAAATTCGGGGACGCCTTGAGTACATGTATACATATATGTACAACTACTGAACTGTTTTGTTTTATTTTTAGCTTGTGGTGAACACAACTGCCAGCTTCCAAACTGCTTTTGCCCCGGAAACTCAATACCAAATGGATTTGCTGCTAAAGATACCCCACAGATGGTGATGTTAACATTCGATGATGAAGTTTCTGCAGCTTATTATGGTTACTTCCAGAGATTGTTCAGACCGGGTCGTTATAATCCTAATGGATGTCCTGTAAGAGGTGGATTGTTTGTCTCTGGTAGTGGAACAGATTACGATCTGGTCTATCCTCTTTATGCTATGGGAGTTGAAATAGCAAGCCATACATTATCACACAAGTTCCCACACACATGGTGGAGCAGTGCCTCTTATGAAGAATATTTCAACGAAATCGATGGCATGAAGAGAGCCTTAGCTGAAAACTCTGGTGTACCATATGACTCTATCCACGGCTTCCGAGTACCTTTCCTGCAATTAGGCGGTGATAATATGTACAAGGCCATTTATGACTCTAAATTATCATATGATACATCGATGTTCACTGGTCCAGTTTGGGAAGGAGGGGAACCTGTTTGGCCATTCACACTTGATTTCGTCCCTGGCCAAGAATTCTGTCAACATGGACCATGTCCAGAAGATCAGTATCCAGGTTTGTGGGAAATTCCCGTTCAAAGATGGTATGGTGTTGATGGACATTCCTGTGCTATGGCTGATGGTTGTACTTCTACAGGTGATGCTGATGAGATGATGGAATTCTTACGAACCAACTTCAAACGATATTACAATACCAACAGAGCACCTTTTGGAATATTTGTACATGCAAGATGGTTCCATACTGAGCATCACATAGATGCCTTAGATCGGTTTATTGATGAACTGATGGATCTCAATGACGTCTACATTGTTACCCCAAAACAAGTTATAGAATGGATGAGGAAGCCCACGCCTTTAAACCAAGCCCAGTTCTTCCAACCGTGGTCATGTGAAGGTTCTCTGTAAGTAAGAAGATGGTCTAAGAATGAACAGTGTCTGTGATACATACACAAACAATATATCAAGTCTAACATCCATAATGATTTCGTGGATCTTTTATAACCTAAAACATCAGTAAGTTGTTAACATACGCCATATACATTCTGTGTACATCTTAATGTATGCCATTAAAATTCTCATTAGATAACTTAGCATGATCAGTAATGTCAGAAACGTATGCATCTGATCTTTTTTCGGTTAGCCTAGCATTACAGAGTAATTTTTTATCATGAGATTTTTCATGAGACAAATATCTGTATTTTGATTTTGAAAAGATATTAAGAATTGTAAACACCTATTACTGGTGGTGTCGCTGAAATGTGCTGCCGTTACCTAGTGAAAACTATTAAAATTTACGTTGATGGTCTCAGTAATATGATTTTGTCTATTTAATATATATGTATTGCACAGTGCATAATAATTTGTTATGAATTAAATATACGATATAATCCAATGGGAGCGTTTGATAGTCAATCATGTAATTTAGGAATTAGAGTCGTACCATATATTGAGGTTATTAGTGAGATTTCAGTCTCCAGACATCGCTTCTGGTTTTAAATTGCAATAGTCATTAAAAACAGTACCAATCAAGTAATAAATGGTAATGTTTTTGAATATATACTATTTGATCTAGTCTAGTAACTGTTTGCCTAAGTAAAATATTCTTTGTTTATTAGACAATGTTCTTCGTTTATTAGACAATGTTCTTTGGTCATTAGACAATGTTCTTTGATTATTAGAGCTTTATAAAGCGCCAACTTTGTCAATTTGTCTTTGTAAAAATAATTGTACATATAGTGATGATATATTTGAATGTTATTTTATAGCATGTAAATACACAATACACGTCATAAGGCGGACAATAACAATATATAATGCTATTTTGTTTGTTAATTTAGTGCTGATTTTATGCTAATATTGCATTAATGTATATATATTTACAATGATACGAATATTATATTTTTTTATCAAGCGTCTTATTCAAGATTATGCTTCTGGATTAGATTAAAAGATATGATATTGTACAATTTTCTTGCAAATAACTCATATTTTATAATAAATCACTAAATACCATATTTTCCAATTCTTTAATCATTGTTAAAAACATTAGTTATTCCATTCAAGTTCGTTCTAAGAATGAAGAGTGTGCAGCTGGCGAGAATATCAAGATAATCCAGAAAGAATGTTCAATCTGACACAATAAGCATCTGTTTTCGCAAAATTCGAGAGATGACTATACTTTTAAACTAGCATGTCCAGATCCAGAATAAGTTTCTGTTTGGGTTTGTCCCTTGGAGATAAAGCCGAATGGGTTGGAAGCTGCCTTAGTGATAGAATGAAATAGATTTTTACGTCTGACCACAGAATTGTAAATGGTTCTATGGCCTGACAGGTTACATGATGATGAAAACGGACAATGTCATGCAATCTGACAAAAATATGTATAATTTCCAAGGTTGAAAAAGTTACTGCGCCATCTCAACCGTCAGGTGGCACACAGATAATCCTGTCATATTGAAGGCTAATTTCTTGAAGCTCCACGCAATGTTAGAGCAGATTCAACGGTTGGTGACATTTCAGATGCTTATTCATAGGCAAAGAAAGATAGATTATAAACAAGACAGATGGAAAAACTTAAGACTCATGGCGGTAGTACATTTCACATGTGGGGATTATAAAATCACTTCAAAGCAATGTTTATTTTGATGTAACATGATAATTATAGACTGCCCTATACAGTGAACAAAAGATGAAATTAAGTTTTATTTTAACTTTCTGATTCAATATAATCAAACAAATTCCATTAAATCCATGAATGAGTCACAACAAAAATCAAATCATTTTCTGATCAGTCATTATCTGGAAGAACTTTATATGGATTTAATATTCCATTAGGATCCATCATGGATTTCATCCTCTTCATCAGATCAACTGAACTTCTAGATTTACTATGATAAATAAAATTCCTCTTTTTAAAGCCCAGACCATGTTCAGCACTGATACTACCTTTCTCTTCTCGTACCCAGTCATATATAAATGGCTCTATTAACTTCATTAATTTATCATCATATTCAGGTGAGGTAACATTTAAATGTAGGTTCCCTAAAAGAACAGTATAATATATAACATATCACCAATTCACTATACTAAGATTTGCTAAAAGAGGCATTCCCTTCTGTATTATACTCTCCAATAAGGATTCAAGCTACTAGAATTAACAACATGCCTATATGCTTTAAGTCTAACAATTTAACAAAAACTGAAATCATTAGTGAATCTTACAAACACATCAAACAGTAAATCAGATATTGAAATTCACCTTTAATAACCAAATAACTGTATTTAAGTCATAAAATCACAATATTTTTTCTACTTTTCTACCATTTTTAGCTTTTCAAGTGGAAATTCTATGAGCCATCAAACCCTTTAGATTTTAACAGAAGTTTGACTCGACTATGTGAAAGACAATCTGTATAATATAGCAGCAGAAAATCACATGGCATGGCACTATGGCAGTATTATGTGGTCAATTATTCATAGTTAAGCCTCAACTCACCATCTCCAACATGACCATAACCAACTACTCTTGTTGCCGACCCATCAACTTGTTTCCTCATGTCCTCTACCAGGTTATAGAATCTAGTTAATGGTAGTGAGATGTCATATTTATAATTATATCCATCTATAATTAATCCCTCAGCCATTCTTTCTCTTAATCCCCATACATTCTGTAATACAAACGGATCTCATATCATACTATATAAATACATGTATAACAGCATATTATATCAAATGATCCACTAAAGATAAAACAAAATGTCACTCTTTTCACAAAACTCCTAAAGATACAAAAAAATTTTTCACCAAATATTCTCTTTGACAACGAATTGTCACAAAAAAAGAAATGCAATAAAAATGAATTCAGAAGAAATAAATAATAAAATTCAACCTGAATATAAAGAATAAGGGGCATGTAAAGAATTGATCAAATAACTGAGATACAATTGGATCATATGTTTGCTAGTTTCTACTATATACTATAATACCTACATTAATCTTGACTGAATCTGTAGCGACAGTACCATCTTGTATAGTTCCTGAATTCATCTCTTTTTCTAAAAACTGATTGAGTTTCTCTTCATCATGAGAACCATTAGATCCTCCAGTTTCAATTAATACATAAAAAGGACTCTCTGATACAGGACTTTTAAGATTTAAGTTCTGTTTAACACAGTCCATTGAAGCTGAGTCCATGAATTCAAAAGCTGATAATATTTCACCAAGATGAATTTTAGCCTGTTGATAAATCTGTAATACTGCTTGGAAATCTTTACAACCTGTAACAAGACAGTTACTATTTGAACAATGTGTACACAATCAATACATATTACTCAGTCATTTCCTTTACTTTGCCGCAGTCAAAATATTGGAAATTTGACTCCTGTAAGGAGTACGAGTTGTCTTGATGAAGACTTTGTGTCCAATACATGTGTTGACATAATATGATGAGCTATGGTTAATTTAAAACAGTTATTACAGATATATTATAATTCATAAATGTGTTACAAAAAAAATATATTTTGCTATGTGTTTCATACACCTCCAATGGAATCTATAAAATACACTTTGCAAGTTACACCTCTTGAGACTCTTGATAAATTTATATGTGTTACGTGCTGACTCTCAGAAACTTTGGCCATGTCATCAAAATTTGTCTTACCATAAGGAGGACATGAACCAGGGCACCTAACTGCCTAGTGGACGACAATCAAACCAGGCGGTGTTAAGCACCATAGATGATTAGAATTTTAAGAATGAATTACTTACCTAAGAAAGCAACATAAGAGAATTTGGGTTTCTGTGGACAGAGTATAGAAACAGCTGTGATGACTCCAAGTGTACCCTCTGAACCAATAAATAACTGTTTAACATCATAACCTGTATTATCTTTCCTTAATGCTGACATACAATCTATCACTTCTCCATCAGCTAATACCTAAAATGAAAATACTCCAGACAATAACATAGTGCTGTTTGGACGGCGGACGCTCAGTAAGTTCATAGTTCCTTTCTGACATCCAAGACTTTGGTACTTTTGGCAGTTTAAATCCAATCTTTTTTTCAATGTGTTAAATTCTAACTGACACTGTTCTTATAACTCATTTTATCCACAAGATTTGACTGAATACTCATGATACTCATGTGTAATTCCTCTGACAGATTATCTTGTTTATTAGTTCTTTATTGTAATGTAACCATCCTGATATCACAGTAAAATCTTTTAGATCAGTTTAGATGCAAAAATGTGAAAACTTACTGCTTCAACACCTAAAACTGAACCATGCAGACTACCATATCGTAATAATCTAACTCCACCAGCATTAGTCGACAGATTACCACCTATATGACAACTTCCTTTAGCCCCTAAATCTAGTGGCATAGTCAGGTTATAGTCTGACACATATTCTTCTAAATTAGCCAAAATACAGCCAGCTTGGCATTGCAATGTCCCTGCAATAGTCAGGTAGAGTCTCTTACAGTTCATTTATTAACAAGATTGGTATAACAAGATTGGTAAAAATTCATTGTTTGTGTGTAAATAGTTTCTGGGGCTTTTTGCTACATGTACCTAGAAATTTTCATATATATTACCAGTGTACAGACTAATAACTTATTTAATGTATTCTGTCTTAATTTTGTTAATATACTAACTTTGACAAATCTTATTTAAACCCTTCAATTTGTTAAGTTTGTGGTTATACCATTTTAAAAAGAATCAATCAAACAAAACATCTAGAAGCTTTCTTTCTATTTTTAATTGCATCTTTACATTAAACAGAAAACCTGTTAAACCTACCTGATAAATGATCAAGTTGATTAATTTCATTCATTAACTGTGTCGAGAGAATAATTTCATCAAATACAGGAACACTACCTCCCACTAGACCTGTATTACCACCTTGAGGTACCACGGCTAACTTTCTTTCATTACAATATTTTAATATACTACTCACTTCAGATGTAGATTTTGGTCGTAGTAATATGGAACTGCTTCCTGCAATTATACTTTAGAACAATAACATGCAATTGTAGATTTGACAACATTATCGCGGCAGTCAGTAGTTTGCCAGTCTATCATGAATTCCATATCTCTTAACTTGCAAGAGTAAAGCAATCATCAACGATCCTGAAAGGGGTATTAAAAAGAAAAAGGTTGAATATCATTGTGTTAAATGATATTATGTCAACAAAATTTGATAAGGAAATGTCAATAACCTATTCATGGCCTACTGACCTATTTAAAAATGGATATAGTTGTCTTAAAATTTGGTTTACCTCCTGAAAGATACACACCCAGTACTACTATTGTTTCAGTATTTTCACGTCAAACATGATAACAACAACAGACAATGTAAATTTTCTATTTTGATTAATCTAGTAGCATTGGTTTATGCAATTTATATTGTTTCCATTTGTTTGTGTTGTCTACCATGTTGGGTCAGATCTGGTATAAAATCCTCTTCATTCCTGTCTATAGGGCCTACATTAATGTAGCCATATAAATATATTCAGATAATCCAGGTCCAATGAAAAGAAATCACAAAATGATAGCAGTGCAACCCAAGACTACCACTTACCTCTGCATGTACGTAACCAATCGGTGTTTGCTCCTTCCAAATCAGATTTTTCTGTAACAACCCTTCCAGGTAAAAGATTTTCAAAGAAGGCCACATCTTTCTCCGACAATTTCTCAAAAGTTCGCCTTTTTAAGTTAGGATAGCGTTTAGCAGTTTCTTCTATTTGTGTACCAGATGCAAATCCATTCCTTGTAACGACCAGACACAACCTGTCGTGAGCCAGAAAGTTTATTGTTTCAGATCTTGTACTTTTCAGACATTTCAGAAAGGTACCGGAAGTGGCGGAAGTCCTCAGCAAACGCAACATGGCCACTCTCAATCATACTCCGTCATTCTCATAGATACAGTTGTCACAGAGATAAAAGCCTCTTTACCTCATTGATAGATAGCATGTAAGGGATAAATAAACATTATATTCGGTTGACCTACTAATATATGAGTTGTATACATGTAGAGGAAGTAGTCAAAATGGACACAGTTGTAAATGGCCAGTCATCCTACTTTAACATAATGACAATGGTCAAAGTAGAATCTAAAGAAGAAGATGACTGTAACAAATTAAGATGAACTAGGTCTCTTTATTCTTATATACGTAGGCCTAATGTTATGAACAGTATTCTAAAAGTAAGACAACAAATGGCACATGTGCCCAAAGTTAAAATGCCATTTCTTTTTAAAACAGAATGCAAAGTAATCGTTTAAAAAATGTTTGCTTTAGCCAACTGAAAGAGCTTTGAATTGCTTTTCAAAATTGAAATCAATCACTATCAATCTTTTTAAGTGTAGCCTACGACATGGATCTGCCAACACCAATACCGGCTGAACAATTTTACTGTCCAAAGGGAAGTAACTTAGTTTTAACTTTTTTTCTCCGAAGTAGGTTTGTCCACGGTTGTTGGACCAATGTTACGGTATCTGTTATTGCTATTGACCTAATCCTTTTAAAGAGATTAGTTATAGATACTGAAAAGATAGGATGATATATAAAGGCCCTCAAAGCGGCTTCTTTTCTTGTTAATTCAAGGGAGATAACTCGCACGATTAACCACACCATTGGAAGAAAATTGGCGCGAAAATGGACCTTACTAATATGACGTGACTGATGATTTGTGATGATCTGGTATTCCAGCCTACAGTGTCATGGATTAGTATGTTTCTTAATGATGTCTAGGTCTCGTTAGAATAATTAGAAATAATTAGTAATAAAAGTAGGCCTATTTATGGGCCTAGCCTTCTAGAAAGCTGCTAGACTCCGATCTTTTCCAATGATTTGTGTATATAAATAACCAAGTACTAACGAAATCCAAAACAACATTTTGGCGAAACATTGGAAGCAGCTATAGCTAAATTTATCCAGTCCATCGTCTGATAGTGCATGTATTCAATGATGATCTTTTGATCATGCCAAGAGATTGGAACACAAACATGTTAAAAATAATATACATGTAGTTAAAAGTGAAATAGTGCTCAGGTAGGTGACATGTAGACCTAAGCGATCAGCCTGATATATACATCAATATCCTCTGATGACTTTACCTCATCCCCTTTTTATTTCCCATAAAAAACAAACAAGAACGGATAGAATTCTTTATTGAATCATAATTTAACTCAAATTTTTAAATCTGACTATTCCGTTAAACACATCGCAAATGGACTGAAAAATATTATGAATATCTTTTCTAAAATCATTACAAAAAAATTTCATGCCATTATTTTGATCAACTGTTACTAATGAATTAACCTTCATCCTTTGCAAGACAACCACATCATAGGGTTAATATTCCCTGATAATTTTGTTACATATGGTAATTCATAAACTTGATTTACGAGATTCAGTTCAATTTATGTCACTGGGTATGCTTCACATCGTTTGATAACAATTTATATCATGATAGTTTGATTATGCTTGTTTTTGGAACTCCTTATAGGAATGCCTTTTTGAAAGTTGGCTGGGGTTAAAATGCTTGATGTTCATGCTAAAAGATAAGACAATATAAATATACATGTATGAACAAGGCTGTCATGTTAAAAAATAATGTTATCACTACAAAATGTCTTTGGTAATGCATTTAAAAATGACCTTTCAACATTAAAACAATTTCATGTTGAATTAAATAAAATGCCTAGCTAAAAACAAGAAAAAGTAAGACAACACCAAATAGCACTATTACATTGACAATTACACTGTCTGTCATGACTAATTTTCCTGAATTACATAAAACATGGTCTTGTACCAATATGTGCACAGCCAAATTAAAATACAGATTTAGAAGTCACTGTATGTGTTTTTCTGTGGGGGACTCCACTTTCAATTCACGATCTATGCAAATTTTGATTTTAATGCACCCTGGTTCTCACATATCAAATATTGAACCTTTCAAATGCTCTTTTCAATAAAAGCCTTATTGACTATAGAAATTCTGAGGAATAGGTGCTAATATTGACAGCCTCATATCAACAGTGTTTTTGATTGTTTTTCATAAATTATGCTGCGGTTGGCTCAATATTCAACATTACCAGATTATGGATTGAGATTAAAGTAACGCACAGAAAAGACACATGGCAAAGCATCTGCATCTGTATTTCAATAAGATTGGTATAAACATTGTTTGATATCAGTTGACATCACAATAGCCTAGACTACTGATGGAGGAACACTCAATACCATGTCTTGAGATACATGAGAAAAACGTCCTAAATTTTCCAGAATCTCGCTATCTGATTTCAGATCCTCTGTTTTTGATGATGTTTTATTATTATGCTGATCAATTGTATTTTTACATTTTGAATCCAGAGCAAAGTTCCACTTATTATTTTCACTGGTACTTGAATTAGTATAACCATCTATTTCACCATTTTCATCTTCCAGAACTTCTTCCAGATCTTCTGCTTGGTGAATGGTCGGCTGCTTGTCAGTGTGTTGATCATCACTCATGCCTGATTCATCCATTTCCTGTTTTACTGATTTAAACATTTGCTCTTCCCTGAAATGAAAAATATGTAAATATATTCTTTAAAACAGAATGTATTTTCTTGGTTTTTAATCTTACGCTGGACAAATGTTAAAAAAAAAAAATGTTTGTTTGAAAAAGAAGAAAAATTCCATGTTTTTCATGATAAAAAATCTACACAAGGCAGAAGAGAGAAGAGAACACTTGTGTATTTTATTACCTGTATAGCTCATCTTGCTCACTAATCTTCATAGACAGATCTTCAGCACTATCTTGGGTACCAGAATTACTCATTAATGAGAAGCTTGATTCACCAATAGCTGCCTGTATAAATAAAGAATTAACAATTCAAATTAACAATGTTGTTCAAAAAGATAACAAATTTCATAACAACATTGGTTCATTTTGCCCTAGGTTTCTTGCTTTACTTTTATCCCGTAACCAATAGTTCTTGTGCTCACCAACTGAATGAGCTCAATTCCAACTACTTAGTTCATTTGTTTTACAAGCTGATAAGAGTTCAATTCAAACAATCTGTAGGTATTCAAATTAACATAACATTATAATCTGCAATATTCGTAATAGCTGAATGTAAGAATGTTCATTAAACCCTGGAAGTGATGACAATTTAAACTTTCAACATTGCACACTTTTGTTAAATTGTTGGGTATATTTCGATATTCTATTGTTCTTTAACAGTTATATTGATAGCTAGAGTTCTCAATTAACATTTCTGATAAATAACTATATCCCTTTCAATTCAACAAGTGCTAAGATAGCCATTCCCCTGGAATGCTATCAAGTGTTACTATATAACTTACCTGTAAAGAGGTATTTAAGCTTTCGTTAAATGAGGAATGATCCGAATACGTTGGACTCTTCATTGCTCTGTAAAATTAAAATATAAGTGAAAATTTCAGTCTGTTGCTGTTTCTTATTTCAATTTCAATGTAAATTTATATAATGAAAAATGTGTAAGATTTGCATTCTACAATACTTTTACAGCTTCATCACAGACTGTGTGATACATTTTAATTGTTTAAAAGCCACAGTAACTATTTGGTTATATATTTTAAGATATACAGACAATTTGCTCCAGTTTATTGTTAACATTATAATTCATCTTAAATAATAAATTATATTCAAAAGAATCGCATAAAATATACTTTTGATTTAAGAAAGGCATTTAAATAATATTTCAAAGTCAGTTATACAACTTTTTGAAATTGAATTCCTTTGAGATCTCACCAATACACAGATTTTGCACTTAACATTCAACATTGTAGAAATCAGATAAGCTGTGTTTTATGAATTGTGGCAAGGACAGAAATATCTTTTCTAATTTGTTAAAGAGGCTGGATGTTACATGCTCTATATGAAATTAAAGATTATTTAAGTGATGTTGTACGTGTTTTATCAAGCCAATGTTGCAAATAAAGGAAGAATGTGTTTTCAGATTTGTGTGGTGCTTGAATATTAAGTCACAAAGCTTTAGGACTTTTCAAAGATATCAATCATTTTGGGGCTTTTTGGTGACTTAGGATTTGTAACTTCACCTACCAGGATATATTTGACAAAAACCCTTTAAATTTTATTGAGAGTCAAATCTTTACATGGTTTATTTATGAGCGAACATTAGAAGAAGGAGTCACTTTTCTTTTATATCTAGAAAAACATATACTATGTTTCTTGTTTGCACAGAATAATTGTTGATGATTGAGTGTTGAGCATCACATGTATTTCATTTGAATTGACAGGTGAACCATCAGCCTTTCCACATGACAATTGTACAAGCATAATGGAGATTATGGTTGCCAGATCTGAGACTTTAAAGTTTATTTTGAATTTCCAAGAGAGTAGTTACTAATTGTTACTAAAGATCAAGATTCTGATGTCATGACACATGAAATGTTAGTGGTATATATTTTGCAGCATTATAGAATATGGATACCTCGGCTGTGTCTAAGCTGCGACTGATATAAAGGGTTCACAATTATAACAATCACTTGGCATGTGATAGCATGCAGAACAACACCTAAAAAGCTCAGCATGGATTGATAGACAACAAATTGGCAAACTGACATCTCAAGAGAAAGCAGTGACGAAAGTTGTTAAGATATTTTCCACCTTCTGAAATAATTTCAAGCTTCTCCATTTATGGATGTTTGCAAAGAAAAACACTTCAGACAAACAAATATGAATATGAATTATTTTTTTTTGGGTCTTCAAGATAGAAAGCAGCTAATTGATAGACAGAAAGGAAGAGATGTTCAGAACATATAAGAATTTTAATACAGGTTTATTGATTCAACACATATTTCAGAATATATATTATAGAAAGACAAATGTTCTTTGTTACAGTCAAATCTTGAAGATAACTTTCATGTGAATCGGAATATCAGCTTCCAAATGCTATTGATAGTTTAAAAATAACCTCATTATTCCAAATCATAAGCAAGAAGATAATAATAAGCAATTCAGACTTGAATACTGCTTTTGCATATTGTTATAGTGATCCAAGATGCCTTAAGGTTCATGTTCTTTAAATAAAACCAAATCAACAGCACTGTGTTGATGTGCATTGATAAGTTTTTTGGGAACTATTCTAACATAAACTATTTCACTACAAATTTAGTAAGATGGTGCTTACTGTGACAAGCAGTCAGACTCGTGATATTTCCGTGGACGTCCTCGAGTTAAATGCCTCCTTCTTATGAATTCATAATCATCCACCAACCAAAATGAGCCAAAATCGTCTTCATAACGAACAAAACATTTGTGCAGTGATAAGTTGGTGCGTATAGCATTCTGGACAGCAAAGAGAATTGAATGGAAATGTAAAGATATGTGTTTCAATACAATACGGTTCAATATCTATAAAGCTTGATTACTGGCAAGGTTTGTGGCAAGTAATAGAAAGCTTTTAACCCTTTCTTACCCATTTTATCTTATTCACAAAGGGTGAATACAGTTTTTTTATTTTTAACATTAGATTTTCTTTCAAATTGTTCAAATATCATGCAAACTAACAAACAAAACAACATGGTACATCAACTGGCTCAAGAAACAAAAAATTCCTAACAAGCATCTACAGAACTAACATGATGTATTAATGATCAGTTCATACAAACATTAATTGACATACTGATGAATTCACTTTTAGCCAAGATGCATCAATAGACAAGAAACAGACTTGAGGTATAACGACTGTGGTAATGTTTTTTTAATATTTAAGTTCTTTTGATTACAGTCATAAAAGACCTTTACATGGTCCCTATAAATTAACCAGAGTTTGTGTTTTTGGTTGGAATTGAACCCTTATTTAAACAAATATAAAAGCTTGACTTTTTATATCTTAAAATGTATGTGGTTGCAGGTTGTCTTTTCCAGTCAAAATTTTCTGCTACAAAATTTTTCCAAAACAAGCCTCGATAGCTGTGACAAATCTTAAGAATTGAATTGAACACGTCAGTGCACACAACTATTTAATCACACGACAGAAGATTTCATTACAACTTGGTTGACATAAACCATAGTTTCTTTCAGATTCACAAACTAATTTTGGCATATCTAAACTATAAGTTAGGATCAATAACTAAATAACATGCCAAAATAAAAGTGGAAGCAAAGATAGGATATTAAAGGCAAAGAAAACTTTATATGAAAGTTGTTTGTAAATATTGTGCAGCATACAGATTTTTAGAAAATGATTGGTGTAGGAAGTTTCTATCTTTGTAACTGTTTGATAACCATTCTATTGTGTAGATTGTATGATTTGTAGTATCAGTGTTAAAGATTCAAGGTTCCAAAATGCTGTGGCTATGTAGAAATTAAATTATCATTTATTGGCTGGATTGGTGAGTATCTCTTATAAATTTCAATTAAATTTAAAATAAATGTAGTTACCCGATGTCATAGCATAATCATTTTGATTTTGGTTGTTTCCCTTTTTTCAGAAATAAAACAAAATGGCATCTTTGAAGTATGTCTAGTTTTAACATTGTTTGAAAGTATAACAACATACCCGCTCAATTTCTGAGGCCTTCGTCTGTAAAATTCGATTTCATCAACTGTCCAAACAGCTCCTTTCACGTTCTCAACTCGCATAAAACATTTGTGGAGACTAAGGTTGTGCCGAACAGCATTCTACACAAACAAAATAAAAATAATCTTTTATACTACATATACATAATCTACAAATTAAAATATAAGTACTAAGATAGGTTGACTAAACTAAGATACTGTCTATTCTGTATTACATGTACTAGCCAAATTAAATCATACATTGTTCTAACCAAATGATAAGTAAGGGTTCTAGTGGTCAACTAACACATGTATGCATGATACAAACTACATTATTAACATCACCTCCTATCTATAATTACTTCTATATAATTCATTATTGGTGAATCCTTTAGTTTCTTTAAAGTGAGTCAAACATAGATACGCCCACATGACAGATAACTCTAAATAGCAGCCAGTAGAGTGACCACAGCACTGTCAAGTTATGGTGCAATGGGTGCAAAATTTCATATAAGCAAGATATAAACATTCAATCATTGCCAAAATCAATTTTATACTTATACAAACATAGCAAGTTTATTGAAAACTATTTGATTTTGTAACTAAACCGGGTACAAAATTTTCAATATTAAGATACAGGGGGATCACTCTGTTTTAATAATCGATTCCACTCCCATTGCCAGTATCAAAATTTGCACCCAAAAACATATATTGACACATTTTTATTAAATCTTAGGCTTAGTACACACTTTTGACTGACAGATGGTTGGAATGTGCTAAATGAGGAATATGCCCATACAGCAGACGATATACAATATTTGTGTGATTACAAATAAAAGAAATATAATATGCCTGCATGGCTGCTAGCTCTAAAGTTATATAGATACTGATCATAATTATACTTCTATCGGAAATAGATGTTCTACACTATACATTTCAAAATTAGCTTTTCTAAATTCTGTACAAAATAACTAGTATTTGCACCAATATGAGCGATATTTTGGTCACAATAAACAGTAAGAACTAAGCATAATTGAAGATGTCACATACATAATTAAGCATATACTTCACATTTCTTTATTATCAATATTCATATGCATACAAGTTTCATCTATATATATGACATATATATGTCCCATATTAGTCTGATCCTGCCCAGTAACTGGGTGTAAATTGTTCCTGACAATAGCTAAGATACATGATTGAAAACCTTTAAAACAAATATATACATAATTATACACAGTTTCATCCAAACCAGATAAAAACTGTAGTTTCTATAATATCATAAAATAATATTAAACAGTATAAGTACCTTCCATGTAGCTTCGTTCCGTCTAAAATAAGAGAATGTATTTTGAAACCACTGATAAATTTCATTTAATGTTAACTGTCTGTGTGGTGATTCAATAATAGACTGAAATAAGAAGAAAAGTTATTGCCCTTTTTTCAAAAAAAATTAACAACGCTAAAATTTCTACAAAAAACTACGAATATAGTTTGATTAATTTCAGGTTTTTCCAACAAATCTCCTTATTGAAGGTCTTGCTCAGTCCTGTTCACAGGTCTATCTCCTTATGCTTGCATATCTGTTTTCTATTTTAGCTTTTCTTGTAGTTTTTATATAATGTTGCCATGGCAAATTTTTCACTTTTCTGTTAAATTGGATTTTTTGTATTTCATTATATTCCATTTATCATAGTTTACAAAAACCAAACCAACCTGTCTTATTAAAGATGCATAAGTAAATGGGGGTCTAACATCTGTATGTTTATAAAAATCTCTATTTCTTTGGATTTCTGGAAAGAAAATATATTTGAAATTATCAAATCGGAAGCTGACATACAAAGTAAGTACACGTGTCATAATTGAAATGGACATCATTCTCAGTAGATTAAGAATAGCAACTAGTAACTGTGATAAATACCTTGCACAAAAAAAGAAAGGCACATATACTTTTATAACTTTAATGGACCTATAAGGTAAGAAAAATTGAAAAAAATAATAAAATTACCATTAGAAATACCTGCTGATATAGGAAGATTGCATTTGTCTGAAACTCGTCTTCTCATTGGTCCTGATGAACTCGTTGTTACATTTAATGATGAATTAGATGGAGAATGAGCTAGTTGAACTGAAGATGTTGCTGGTATAGTTAATGTCATGGAAGGTGATGGTAATGGTAAAGATGTTATAGACACTGGTAGAGCTGTAGGTAGAGCTGATGGTAAGCTGGATAGAGCTTCATCTTGAGACAATGTTGGTGGATTCTGATAAATAATGAAAGCATTATCAAACAAAAAGTTATATTGATATCCTTATATAAAAAGTCTTATTACCCCTACAATATATTTAAACAACACAGCCTGAAGAGAGACATTTCGCATGGACAATCTATTCTTTTTTTTATTTCAAACAATTGAAGGATCTTCTATATATGTACACAGAGGGCCTTTGTTTATTGTCCTGTCCAATCTGCTGACACGGTTCTATGATTGTCAGCTCCTTTGACCTGCAACACTGACAGGTGGAAACCTGGTTGAAAAAAAACACAGATAGTAGACCCCTAGAGTAGCGAACATGCATCAAACTTACACAGCTGCCTTGGTAATGATGTCAAAGGGATTGTCAGAGCAAAGTAAATCTTAAGTTATAAAATCCTAACTTACTTGATAACAAAGTAATTTTGAATTAGATTCTAGAGAAGATACATCATTATGAACTGGAGTTGAAGTTGATGTTGTGGGTATAAATTTGTGTAATGTAGAGGGGGAGAGAGACATTGGTTGATTCATATGTACGTGTAAATGTTGCATCATTCCTTGTAATAATTCTTTTTCTCTTGATAACTGAAATTAGAATATACTATATGATTAGATACTGTGGATGTAATTTTCAACAACAATAAGCCTGTTTATCTCAAATTTTCAAATGAAGCAGTGTCACCTACTGTCCCACTCAAGGTAACCAAGCAATGGTCCAACTCACAGAGCCAGTGAGCTCTCAGTGAAGACCCATTCTTAAATTAACACCTAACTTCATTCCTACATTTGAGAGCATGGGTTAATGACAATATAAGATCCAAGTTTCAATTCAGAATTTTTATTAATGGAATGATACTGTTACCCTACCTGCATTTCCAGCTGACTAACAACTTGTGACTGGACTCTGGCTTGAGCTGTACTTTTATCATCTAATATATGTTCATGATTAATATGCCTGAAATAAACCAGAATTATGATTCTCAGATTCAAGTTGGGAACTACATGTACATAAAATATTAATGAAGCATGAGAATTGACATTAATTCATAAAGGTCTATTTTGTATGGTGTCAGTATAAATGTATGTGTTAAGAGCAGCAGTTTACTAGTTGCTTTCATTTTGACTACCTTATAATTTGTTGTTGTACATGTAGGTTAATTAGTTCATATCAAATGGACAGAAGGACATACATATATACAAAAGCCAATACAAAAATTTCTTACTTGATAAATGCTTTAAAATCTTCACAATGTGTATCACATCCAGGCCATTTACAGAAATTATGTCGATATAAAGGATTCTTCTCAGACCAATTAGTGGATGAAGCACCATCTTGGTCTGAAGGTTTGGTTTTATTGGGTGAATCATTATGCAGTATACTTACAGGAGGTCGACTTATAGAACCACCTGAAATCATACAGTAGGGAAGGATCACTCAACATGAGCAAAATTTACATAAGTTCATTAACTGCCAAAAACATGACATGAGACATGAAATGAGTGCAATAACCATGCTAGATTATTCAAGATAGAAAAAAAATATCTATAGAAGTGCTGTCTGTAATTGGACCACATCTACCAATATGCAAATACCATCTCTAACACACTTCATTGTAACACTAGGAGTCCCATTTCAAATTACATGTATCATTATGATCTGGAAGCATGTGATACAGCCTGTCATTGTAAGATAGAGAGTTTGTATTTCATCAAGTGACAGGAAGGAGCAATCTGGAACAAATATGTGAAAACACTAACCTGATAATATATTATGATCAGTAGGTAAGTTACCATTAGTTAAAAAATGGCCATTTTGTAAATTTGATTGTGACAATGTCGTAGAACTAGGTGATGATATATCTATATTGTTTTTCTTCACCATTTTCTCCTCTATTCCTGATTGTTCTGACACTTCTTTCCACAACTGTTGAATTTCATCTGGTGACATCATTCCTGCAATAGTTAGGTATCATTTACTACCAAATTCTAATATTTTATATTCATATCTTTGTTTGTTGATCAGGATGTCAAATCACACCCAAAATAAGTTTGGCTTCATTGCCATCATAATTCTAACAACTAGTTATCCATAACTAGTAGTAACTTATGGAGGTTTCGGTTACTACGTCATTAGTATGGAAAATGTAAGTGTTCTTGTCATGAACACATCAATGATGTGTACATTTTTTGTACATGATATTTTCATTGAATAATTTTTCATCTTACTTTAGTAGAATACCAGGTACATATATTGTTTTTATATTGAAATTTGTAAAATTTTCTTTTGCAGACCTGATAAGACTACCATAAGTTCAGTTCTTGTATTATTATATCATTATTTATATCTTAACTTCTTTTACTTTTATTTCTATAGCTGCAAGAACTACTTGGCCAATCAACCATTTAGCAGGTTCCAGCAAAAGCTAAAATTGGTGCCTACATGGCAATGCTGCTGCCTATTTCTATTTGGGAAATACCATACCAATAGATAAATTAATCTAAATTTCAGTAATAATTTTTTTTACAAAGTTTCTATCAAGAATTAGGCTTATAAATCTTATGGAATGGATAAACCTTGTCTTTATCCACTTCACTCAAGATAATCAACTACCCTACTAAGATAGGTAGAGCCTAAACTGGTTGTTTTTGAACCTGTGAGTAGGACTGATTTAATGTTTTTGTAAACCATTCCTAAAATTAATAATATTATTTCTTAATAATTATGCTACCAATGAATAAAATATGATGAGCTATATCCAGAAGTAGGCTATTTACAATACATTTGTCTCATCTTAATAAAGATATTGATAATATACTGCTACCTCGGTAAGGAATTATGGGTAAGTGAATAAATGGCGTTAATTGAAACATTTTGTATCAATGGCAGTAGTATGTGGTGTTTATACAAAACTTAACAATTTTGGTCACAATTAGAAGTATGTATCCTTCTTTCTATTCATCACTTCAAGTCACAATTGACCAAAATTGTATTTCAAAATATCTTAAAACAGAAAAAAACTATTTCTCGAAACAAAATTACTGTTTATTAAACCATGTGTCAATTCAATTGTTTATTCTGTATATCACAACCCCAATGCGTGTTTTAAAAATTCTTTGTTCATAACAACACTAAGAGTCACAATTATCACTATACTATTGAGTCACAAAATAGACTAATGATGCCTGAAGTAATTTTTTTTCCTTTCTCTTCATCACTATCATAAATTTGATTGGTCTCTTTCAGTACATCACTGAGTCACAATTTAAGCAAAGTCCCAAAGAATACAAATGTCTCCTTTCTGGTGATCACCATATTAGTCAAAATTGAAACTCGAAAAAGTTGTGCATAAATTGAATTTGTTTTTTTCTCTACAACATTATAGTCACAATTATAACAAAGTCACAAAGCAAAAGAATATCTCAACAAATTGTAAGATTCTGTTTATCAATACAATCATCAGAAACAATAATAACAGAACATATTAAGAATTCACATCATAAACAGAATTATTGAACCACAATGTTCCATCCATGTAATACAGCTATCAACTAGCATATGGATATTACTTGAAAATAAAATAAACAACACAAAGTTCTATATTCTGGTATTATTGATAAACTAGTCCTGGGCATATATAGTCAATTATCACTTATAATAAACAGTTTATGAAGATATAGCACATCATCATTTTATTAAAATATTATTCAAATTCTCGCTATTGTATACTCTAATGTACATGAATGTACGCCATTAAAATATATATTAGTTTACCACGAATCATGACAAACAAATCAAATGTTTACTCATGGTCAGTGAATCAAACTGTGAAACCCAGTTTTAAATCTAGAACTTGGTTCATGACAACTACAAAATAATAAACAAAATGGCTTCTCCACCAGCTGCATTCATGTAAACAAATCTAAAGCTGACATTTGTATAAACAAGCCAATTATAAGTTAAATTCTATAAAGCCTCTATATTGTGATGAACAAGAAAGGTTCAGAACAGTACAAGGAGAAATTCTATAAAATATATTGAACACTTCTATTTCTTTCCGACTTTTCTGAGTAGTAAATCATAAGTCTTATTAAAAGGGATAGCATTTCTTGCATAAACAAAACAATGCCCATATAATATTTTCAAAACAAGTTTGCATTGATATCCTTATTAGTCTGATGAAAATGTTTAGTGTTTTTCAGCAGTTTAGTTTGGTGTTTTCCAGCAGTGTAGTTTGGTGTTTTCCAGCAGTTTAGTTTGGTGATTTTCATCAGTTAGTTTGGTGTTTTTCAGCAGTTTAGTTTGGTGTTTTTCAGCAGTTTAGTTTGGTGTTTTCCAGCAGTTTAGTTTGGTGATTTTCAGCAGTTTAGTTTGGTGATTTTCAGCAGTTTAGTTTGGTGATTTTCATCAGTTAGTTTGGTGTTTTCCAGCAGTTTAGTTTGGTGATTTTCAGCAGTTTAGTTTGGTGATTTTCAGCAGTTTAGTTTGGTGATTTTCAGCAGTTGAATTGACTTGCCATCAATAATCCGATGAAATAAGTTGTTTCTTGTTCTGGGTTATATTATATTCAACAAATCAATTGTTTCCATATATTGACATTTTTGGGCTATTGTCCATTTAGGCATGTTCCACAACCTCAGTTTATTGTCCAGACCAAAACATCTGGGAGGATCTGATCAATTGCTCGATTAAGTTGAACTGAAAAATTGCATTAACAGCAACTTGCCGTCAGTTGCTCATGATCTACTCTGTGTGAACAATTAAATCTAACTGTCGACCTGTGAAGTAAAAATTTACAATCATCCAGTTGCTTGTAGTCTGTCAATTGTTGCTACAAGATGCTTTCAAATGACACTTCTGGTCCAGCTTCCAAAAAATGATGGTACCATTGTAAATTTTAAAAGTAAAATGTTAAATAAAACTAAGATTGTAATACTTTTTGAAACTGATGTCTGGGTCTGAAATAATTTGTCATAATCGAAGTCTTAAAGTTCCCGAGTTCAAGACACCAAAAATATGATTACTCTGGTAGAATGTACAAGCTTGTTCATCCAAGGGATACCTACTAACACTATATGACTGGGTTTATCAACATTACTTCTATTTCCAGAGTCTGTACATACATGTTATGAATATTATCAAACAGAAAATATATATCAAGTTTTATTAATTTTTATTAATAACTGGCGATATTGTTATGTTTACAGTATTATGAGATTGTTATATTAAGTTTAACCAATTAAAATAGAATCAATGAGAGAATCCAGAAAACAAAGAAAACACCCAAGTTTGAATCCTGATGACAGTCTCTATCAAAATAAAACAGTTGTCATTCCCCCATAACCAATGCAGTCCAAATTTCATAATAGTTTTTACAAGATGACTATGAGGTTATTTTTTTATGTTTAAACTTTTCTCTTCTTTGTCATTAATTTGTTATTCAAACAAACATTCAAGCCATTCAATGTAAAGCATATCCAATTTCTTTATCGTCTATAAAGTAAAAAATAAATAAAAAGTTGGACTTATCATAATGTTAAACCTGTGTTTACATTCTACAGTAACCATGGAAACAATCTAATGTAAACATACTTTGTTTATTTGGAATCTGAATAAATTATATAAATGGATAAAAAGACTGTAAGAAAAATAGGGTGTATATTGAACATTATGATGTGGAGGTCAACTGGTTCACTTTATAAATTTATCAATAACATTTTTACTTCAGTATTTATTAATGCAGTGGGAAGAGAAAGGATCAATTTGTGATGGGAATTAGAAACGACGGATAGAACAATAACATTGACCTGTCTTTCTCTCAGAAATCTTGGACTTGACACAGACTCAACATTGACTTGATATCTAAGAAATAAAATGTCTTCACCGATGCAATTCATTTGAAATTATATATAACATAATTTGTTCTTTTGATAACATTTTTTCACTTTGATTTCAACGTGTCAACTTCGAAATGACTATCTTCAATCTAGACAATTATATTTTCAAGAAATGAAGTTTTCTCATGAAGCATAATCTATACTAGGATCATAAGGAGGTTTCCTAAACTTTGTATGTGTATTGGCTCAAATTGTAAAGGGGCAAAGTGATGTGATCAATGTCTCAAAAACTATTCACATCAATTTGCACAATTTCAATTTTAGTCAGTCATCTGTGGTTCTTGCAATTTAACAAAAAAATAAGCATTTTGTGACCTGACTGTCGCAAAAGCTGCTAATAAAATCTAATGATAGTGGACCACAGCCTCATTTTTAATTAATGAGTTCTTTAATGCTGGTGCTGTT